TTTATTTATATTTTATAAATTTTAATTATATCTTTTAATAATATTAATATAATTAAATTTAAATAAAAATCATTAAGCTTATAAATTTTTATTTTAAAGATAATTTAAAAAATTAAAATTATTTTAGCTTTTTTAAAGGAAATTTAGCCTTTTTAAATTAAATAAATTTTAATTAAAATTATTTTATATAAATAAATACTTATTTTACTTAAAATACTTAAATTCTTAATTAATAACTTTTAATAAAATATACTTAAAGTTTAGCTAAAGAATATTTTTTATTAACTTATAAATAATTTCTTTCCTTATTAACTACTTTTTTAAATATAATAAAAATACTTTATAAAAGAGCTAAGTTATAATAAAAAAGATATTATTTATATTATTAAGTTCTTAATTATATTCTATAATCTTTTCTTTTTATATTTTTAAATCATTATAAGAATTATTATAAATAATATCTTTAATAATTATAATTAAGTTTATATAATAAGTTTAATTATTAAATTTATAAAAAGTAAAAAGCTTTTTTTTTTTTTAATTTTTTTAAATAAATTATTTAATAATAATATTTTTAATTACTTTTATTAAGTTTAAAGTAATATAATATTACTTAAATAATTTTAAGATTTAATTATTTAAATAAGAAAATTAATAAGTAATAATTTTAAGGCTATTTAAAACCTTAATAATATTAATTTTATTAAACTTTAAAATATTTAAATTATAAATTATAAATAAAGCTATTTATAGTAAAATTATTATATTAATAAAAAATAAAACTTTTAAAATATTAATTTAAGTTCTTAACTTATTATTAGCAATAAATTATAAGATTTAATTAAAGCAAGATTAATACTTTAATTAATAATAAATAAAATTAAATTTCCCTTTTTCCTTAATAAGTTTTTTAAAATTCCTTTCTTAGCTTTAAGTAAAAGAAAATAAATAATTTTTAAGATTTAAAAGTACTCTTAAAATAAAAATAAATTTAAAAAAACTTTAAGCCTAAAAGTATAATATATATATTATAATAATTTTTATTAAAATAATAATAAAATAAAAAAACTTAAAAGCAGTAATATCTTTAATTAAAGTAATTATTTTTAAGGAATTTATCTTTAATATTACTATAAAATACTTAAATTAAAATTTAAAAAATAAAGGTATTAATAAATATAATAAATAAAATAAACTTAATAAAAAATATTTTATTAAAAAATAAGAATTATAAAGTTATAATAAAAAAAGCCTCTTAAATTTATATTTAATGTCTTATTTATTAATATTATATTAAACCTTTAATAAACTAAATTTAAATTTAATTAAAGCCTAAGCAAGGTTATACTTTAAATTTAAATCTTTTATATAATTTAATTAATATAAAAATGTATAATATAATATTACTTATTAAATTTATAAATAAGCAAAGTAAGTATTTTAATTTTATATTATAACTTTCTTTACTTTAAACTTAAGGTTATAATAATAATAATAAATATTAATTAAGAATTTAAAGTATCTTTAATTAATATTAAATAATATTTATAAAGTTTAAATTTATTATTTTAATTTTAAGTTTATATTATTATTATATTTTAAGCATAATCTTTAATAAAAAATTTAAAATAAGTTTAAAGCTTAATAATATATTAATATAAGATTAAGATAATATTTTATTTAAATATTAAAAGCATAAAAGGTATCTTAAAATTAAAAAATAATCTTAAAGTACTTATAATATTTTTATAAGTTTAATTATACTTAATTCTTTTTTATAATAAGTTAAAGATAAATATAAGCTTTAATTAAAGCTTTAAGCTAAAATATAAAATAATTTAATAATATTTAATATAAAAATAAGAAAAAAGAAAGAATTAGTAAATAATTAACTTATAGCTAACTTTTTATTTTTCTTATTATTAATTAAAGATATATAAAATTAAAATTAGCCTAAGTTAAATTATTAATAAAAATAAGCTACTTAAATAATAAGAAATAGATTTTACTAAATCCTCTTAAGGGTAACTTAAAAAAGAGCTTTAATACAATAAAAAGAAAAGATAAGAATAAAAGGAAACTAAAAAAAGGGAAAAAATAAATATTTTAAAAATTCTTAAAAATAAAAAAAGCTTAATTAAAGCACTAAATATATATAAAAAGAAAAGAATTAATTTCTTAAAAGAATGTTTAAAATAAGCGTAAAAGCTAGCTTTTTATAACCAGCCGGAATTCAGCGCAGTACCATTTCTCACGTAATTCCCTACACCCGCCAACAGCATTATTATATTTTTATTAAATAATTTAAGCATTAAAAGATTTAAATATTAAGTATGTTAAATGTTTGCTTATTTTATATATTAATAATTAGCTAATATTAAACCTTATTTAAAATTATAAAGTTAATATTTAATTAAAATATATCGCTATTTATTATTACTTTATTTATAAAGGAATTAAAGAGATATATAATATTTATTATATTATATTTAAAGATAATCTCGTTAATATTTATATAAAAGCGTTGCTTTGCCTTACTCTTAAAAAGGCTTATAGGAAATTAAGATTAAGATAAATATAAGGTTTGTATTACTAAGGGGGGCATTTAAATAATTAATTAAAAATAATGCAAGCAAAACATATAAACATTAAACAACATTTATATAGTAGTCTTAATATAAATTATAACGGAACATTTAAATTATATTTTTAGCTATTAAAACGGAATATTTCTTATTATTATTAATATAATGATATTTGCAATAAGGGGTATGTTGGAAGGTATGAGGGTTATATGCTTATACATTAACGCTAGCCTATAAATAGGCTCCTTTTAAGCATTTAATAACGGGGAGATTTCTCTCCTTAATAATAACAAATAACTATCGTTTGCTTAATTGCTTCATCAATAAGTAATCAGCTCTGTATATGTGGTTTCGCGGAGACTATTCGCTGAATATCACTTCACTTCATAAACAAACTTACAAATATAGTATGATTGACTTTCCATTAGTGTCTTGCTAGTCTCTGAGTAGTAGCTAAACCGGGCGGATCCTAATAGGCAGCGGACCATGATCATCATATAACAATTCTGGATGTAAACATTGGCTGTCCACATGAAGAAGTTGGCAGTCATGACGAGATACACGGGCTCTGTACATGTGAATCACATTCTCCAGGACCATTGCTCACCTTGAACCGTGGTTCACATCCGATGGTGGCTCACACGAGATGGCGGCTCACAGTTATCATCGCTCATCATGAGCCGTGGCTCATAATTAAGCATCCGTCACAAGGAACTACAGCTCATGATAACACAGGGCTCACAGGTACGCATCATTCACCGAGGAGCCCATGTCATGGCGAACCATGTCTCACCATCCAGCACGCTTCACAATAGGCGATGGCTCACCAGGACTCCGAAGAACTTGTGGTGTATGCATTCCTGAAACTGCGGGCTCCTAAAATTTCGTGATGACTGAAAGCCCCGGGGAGAAGATTGAACAACTTTCCATCATTGGATGAGCCCCTCATACTTCATCACCCACATCTCGAAATGGCCTCAGCCCACGTAGATACTCATGCGTGACGCTGATTTTGTCCCTTGTCGGACATTGTGACGATAGATGCAGGTGTTTATGAGAGGCGGACTGGCGAACTTGGTGGCCATGCAGCGGTCCAAAGGGTCAGAGGTCCTCATCCAGGGGTCTACAGTCGAGTTCCCTACGATCATAAGCGGTCTTGCTGTGAAGTCTCTACCGTGGTAACAATTGTGTTCTCATCGGGGTTTCCGGGCCACCACGGTCGAAGAGATTTTGGTGTCTTGGTCTGCAAAACTATAGAACTGTGAGTCCACGCCCAAGTCAACAGTCTGGAACGTATGAATTTCTCATCATATCATGTCTTCGTCTATTCTCTATTCCTTTCGCTGATGGGTGTTAGTTTGGCTACAACTGCCTTGTTCATGATGTAGGCAGAATGTTGGCCTCGTACTTTGTGTATAGCGATCAACTCGCTGTTACAGGCTACTGGATAGGTTCAGTTTGTGATGTACATGTCCGTATCTGCCGGCAGAGTGCCATAGGTCTACGGAAATATTGTCACGCGGAGAAGCCATGCATGGACACATGCACACACGAAACCTCTTCCCCGCCCCTCCCCCCACTCTATATTTTATCTTAAGCTCTGGTCGTGTTCTAAATCAGTATTGAGCTGTCATATAAGCATAGAATCATTCAGCAGGAGGAAACCAAGAGCAAAAACAACTCAGGGCGAACATTGATCCCTTCAATCCGGCTCTACGACTCGCCAAGGTTTTCATCTCATCCTTCGCGAGATACCCCCAGGTTCATGACAGCATATATACAGGTTCCAAGATTTAAGCAGACACTCGAACTCGATGAAAAGACAGGGCGAGAGTTTAGAATGTATGAAAATTACTATCACAAACTATACATAGCACATCAATAATCAAGAGGTGGCCCCCTTGACCCCGATCGGTATCACCTTCTTCTTCCTTGGATAACACCTTCCCGAACGCCTCAAATAGCTCGACCATTATTCATCAACTGAAAAGAAAAAGCTCAAGAGACTCCTTGGCTCCTGGTCCATCCCTCTTATCGTCGTCGCCCTTTGCAAGGCCACCTTGGAGTCCACACGAAGTATTGGACACCTCGCATCGCACACCCCTTCTTTACTTCTCCGTCGTTTTATGTCCCGCCGATTTATTATTTCCGTTCGATCCCGACCAGGAGGGGGTAGACACAGATAGGCCGTCTGCAGTCATCGCACCTCATATGTAGACCAGGCCAGGACGAGCTACTCCGTCGTCGTGGTCGTGAGGTAGGGGGTGGGAAACAGCATGGCCGGCGCAAGCTACCACGCCGTCTGTGATTCTAGCTGAGCGGGGCCAGCGCATCTGCTTGATGAAGGCATCATCCTGTGGGTACCCCACAACACCCGGTATAGGCCGCCGTCCAGCGCGGTTCGCAAACATCCACTCAATGCCTGCGCGCAGCCTCACGGGCCTTCCACCTGTCGCGGATACCCGGCCCCGCCTCCTCGAGCATCTGCTGCGTGACGGGGTTGCGTATGCTCTCGATGACCTTCTCAACGACGGTGATGTGGTTAGCATGGTGCTTGTCGTCGCGGAAGCGGTACATGCGCCAGCGGTCGTGCTCGTCGAAGTAGCACTCGATGATGCGGCCCGTCAGCGGGTCCCCGAGCGACTTGAGCGTCGCCCACTCGTCCTCGGTCAGGAAGAGGTCTCCGTAGTCGACGTACGGGTCGGCGCCGCGCTCCACCTGGCCCTGCGCGAAGATGAGCAGCTTCGCGGGCGGGACGCTCTCGTAGTCTATGTAGGGCTCGTTCACGCCCTCGGCGCGGTCCTGCTCGTCCGGCTCCACCATCGGGAAGTTGAGCTGCAGCTTGAAGTCGACCGTGTTCTCGTCCGCCGGCTTCCACTTGAGGATGTGCTCGTCGGTGCCGCACTTGTACGGCGTCTCGCGGCAGGTGAAGATGAGCCCGTCGTTGCCGTGCGTCAGGTTCGGCAGCACCTCGCGGAACATCTTGACCATGCCGTAGGCGAGCTGCATCTCCTTCATGACCAGCTGGAACGCCTGGAACTTGGCCTCGTCGGGGTACTTCTTGAAGATTTGGCGGTACGGGGCGTATATCTTCTGGTTGAAGTATGCGAGCCTCTTGTCGAGGGGCCGCTCCAGAAGGGACATTCCGTCCAGTGTGAGGCAGTCGAAGACGAGGAACTGGGGCTTCTCGCTGCCGTTCGGCTGCCGGCTCATGATCAGCTCGCCATCGATGATGGACTTGTCGTGCTGCCCGCCCTCGTGCTCCGGTGTCGGGAAGTGCAGGTTGCGGTACTGCATGAACCAGAAGTCGTTCTTGCGGTCGATCAGGTAGGCGATCTCGTCGCCGTTCTCGTCTGAGGTCAGGTAGAGGAGGTAGCGGATCCCGTCGGTCTTTTCGCAAACAAAGTAGCTGTGTCGCAGGAGAGAATGTTAGCAAGTCGCTGGGAGGAGGACCTCTTTCTGTCTGCGGTGCTCCGCTCGCTTGACTTACTCCTTGTTCATGAGCTCCTTCAGGTGCCTTCTCGAGAAGCTCACCGGCTGAGCGCCTGGGAAGCCGATTTGGGACCGCCCGAGCAGCTGGGCTACTTCTTGCCGCAACTGCTGGAGCAGCTGTCCCTCTGCTCGGACGCCGGGCTCATCAATCTTAGTGATGGGCGTTGCGCTCGCGTCCATTTTGGGCTTCCAACACCGGTCCTGTGACCAAACGTTCCGTGACAAAACTATTGCGACAATGATGCGCTCCGACCACTGATGGAGTCGGCTACTTCAGACACATAAGTTCGATATGGGGTTTTGATCGCATTCGACGTAACATATCCTGTGTTGAATGTGGTTGGATTAAGAGGAACTTGAATGGAAAGTGAATTGAAAGGGACGGAGTGAAGTTGGGTTGGTCAAGAGGATGTCCGGCGCAGCTGTGACAATGAGCAGTCAATTAGAGCAATTAGAGAGAGCTACAGCGGTGCCTGCCTGCCGCCTGCTTATCTGTTATCGTAGCTTAGCTGCCGTCCAGGACCAGGGACCGCTTTGGCCTCTCGAACCTCTGGCCCCTGACTGGGGCTACTCACATTGAGAGAAGGAGCCCCTCGTCGTGGATGCTTGCAATTTGGCAGTACGGTTGGCTGGCTCTGCAGATATCTCCAAAGCCAGCACTCCCCGCCGACTGATATCTCTAATCTGGAGAATTCATTGTTTTGCTGTCAAGAATGCATGCCCAGCCCAACCCAGCAGGGAAGGCTGCGGAGAAGGAACAGCCACTCAAACGCTTCAGCGACTTTCCCGCCTGTGTGGACCTTCGGGTTCTCTGACCATGCAGCAACTTATGTGCAGCTTACATTATACAATTACAGCCCCATGCCGTGACCCAGAGTTCCATAAGCCATGTTGGGGCCTAGGCCTGGCTGAACGCAATCATCCCTCATCCTCGTCATCTCATCGTCAGGAACGGCTCGAGGTGCCTTCTCTGCCGGCCTTCTCTAAGACTCATCGATCTTATCGACCTCGGCCCTCGCCTCTTCCCATGTCTCCTTGTTCTTCTTAGCCCATTCGATCTGGCTTTTGGCATATGCGAGCTGTGGCCGTGTTAGTCAGCTGATGGTGATGGGAGTGGGGCAGAGTAAGGGAATCTGCTGCTAGAATATTGAGGACTCACCATGTAGCGCCTCAGGTCATCTTCTTTCTCCTTCTGGAACCGCTTCATGTCTTTGAGAACGCTGGCACTTGCATCTTTGACGTCCTTGGCAACAGCAACCTGTGCCTGCTCGAGCTGCGCAATCGATTCTCGAGTCCTGCCTATGGTGTCTCGTCGAGTCTTCTCGGGGTCGACATCGACAACCCCTTGCACCGCGTGGCGTAAAGGGCCAAAGATCTTGTTGGTGATCGAGTTGCCACTCGCAGCCTTCTTATGGCCCGGGGTTGCTGTTGGATCGTTCAGGGGAGCCAATCTTGGCTGACGGAGCTGACGAGATGTCGCCGTGGGTGGGTGGAAAGTCGGAATCAATTGAAGCCGTGTCTTCCTGGCTGCCTTCCCTACGATGGCGATTCGAAGATTCTTGCACGCTTGTAGACCTTCGGGGCTGGATCTGTTGGCTTCCGCTCAGATACTGGTCAATCCTGCGGGCTTCTGCCTCGCTCCTTTCAAGCTGGTCCAGCAGCAGCCTTTTCTTGTTGAGCTCATCGTTGGTGACCTCCTGTTGTATTCGTTTCATGATCCGATACCGCAGGACGCTTCTCACGACTCCGGCAAATTGCGCGTTCTCCCTCATGGGCTCCGCGAAGCTGGCACCCAACGAGGTTGAAAGCTCCTCTGTGGCAACGTATGACATGTCTGCGGCTTGTCCGATCCGCTCTATGACGGGGCCGAGTGTGGGGTCCTGCTCAGATAACGCAAACGCGTTGTATTTCGCACCAAGCTCAGACAGATCAGTCGCCAGCAAGGAATAGTGGCTGAGCGTCCGCCGGTTGACCTTCTCCATGGGCCCAGTCAGGAGCTGCTCGAGCTCTTTAATAGAAGACTCAAAAGATGTGAAATAAGGGTCCAGCTCCTGCTCGCTCAGGTTTGCATTTTCAGGCGGAAACCGGGACAGCCCTGCGTTGTTGCCAGTTCCGAAAGCTCCATCCACGCCGGGCCCAATGGTCTGTTGCGACTTGAGCTTGTTGGAAGATGTCGGGATGGGAAGGTAGCTGTGAGCAGGTGTTGGGTTTGCAGGGTCCAGTGGGGGGGCTTTGAAAATAGACTTCGGTATGGAAGCGATCGGGTGAGAATGCAGAACCTCGTTCTGCAGTTTTGTCAAGTCAGCTTTCACTCCTCACGTATTCTGCTCCAGGAGGAATCCATACCCAGCTCGCATTCGGATCCAAGAAACGCCACCACACCCCGTCCGTCCGAATTTGCTGGTTTCTCCGACAGCGATTCAGAAACACTGCCAGCATGCGCTTCCGCAGGTCGATAATCTGCTGGTCCTGCTTCGCGTTCGTCGGGTTGGCCGCATAGTCTGCCATGGTGTGTTTCTCTGGGATCGGAGGGATGATAATGGTGGGATGAAGTCGTATGAGCGCCTCGCGAAGCGAAGCGAACTCGGAATAACGTCTGCGAACCTCGAGATCCTGATGGTCCTGTCAGCCACTGGAAACTCCGGAAACCCTTGTAAATGCTTACTCCTGTCCTGATGGTGTAAACAATGTATCTTCCCCCACTCTCCAAGCTCTTGCCAGCATCTGTGATCAGGATGGGAAGCTCTGGGTTCTCGTAGAGGATCTGCTCAATGCGGCTGTCGTAGCCACCGGGCTTCCGGCGCGGTGCCAGCTGCTCTTGCGCTTCGTCGTCCTCGTCGCTTTCCGGGGCAGAAGTCGCTGGTGCGCTGTAGCTGGACTGGTGGGCCTCCTCTGGAGGCTGAGGGATGTCATACTGGGGATCTATGATGTCCCAGTCGCAGTCAGCATCGTCCTCAGACGAGTCAAGGGGAATGTCCTGGAACATGTTGAACGGTTGGACATGGTGCAAATGAAACAAGGCGCATAAAGCGGTACGCACACTCGTGTGATGTTGGGGAGGTGGGATTAGCTATGGACGAGGAAAACGAATCCCTCCTGTCAAAGCTGTCCCCGTAGGGATTATTGTCTTCGTCGTTCCACATTCTGCCCGTGCTTCAATTGCCTGCTAGCTCTGCCGGCGCAGGCAGCTGTCTGAGCTTGCCCTGAGACAGGATATCTCTGATATCAGTGGTGATGAGAGGCCGTCACCGAGGTGCTGTTGCTGGTCCTGGCGCAGGCGCCCGAAGGTACACAGCACAGGAGGCGGGGGTGGGGTACGACAGACGGAGCTCTGGGGGCCTGTCCACTTCACATGTGTAACTTTTGGCAGGCGCTTGATTAACAGAAATGTGCCAGCAACCAAGTCATTCAATAATGTGAGAGCGCTGCTGGTCCGAGAAGTGGTCGGCAATGCTGGGAGGGAGTTGTCATATGAAGGTGAGGATGATGTTGAGAGGAAGCTCGGGCGCTAACCTTGGCTCAGAGCTAGTCTAGTCTACTTGGTGAGCCGTGAGCAAGCAAGCAATGACGAAGCTGAGGACGCACGGACCATATTCCATCCTGCAGCAGGATGTCCAGCCGACCTACCTAGGTAGGTACTGTACCTTCCTCACAGTGGATCCCTCTTCTTTGGCCGATGGCTGGGTGAGGACCGACCATCACCATGCTGGCCTGGGCACAAGAGGTTTATTGGGTGTCTTTCTCATCTGAAATCATCCGAAGACATTGTCTACATGCTCATTGTAATGCACGTGGTGTGAGAGATTTAAGCCTTGCAGCCACAGGTCCAATATTAATTTTTCATTGCATGGTGACACCACAAGCAGACTCTGCTCCGTGGTTCTGTCTGCCTCCTGCTGTACCTGGAGCCTGCATAATTCTATTTGCCATTGTTTTGTGTCTGTACAGCCAGATCCTCTGGCGTCCAGACTCTCATCACCCTGAAACCTGGTACTGTCTCTCAGTTTTCCCGTCTGCCACTGCTGCAAATGGAGCAGATGCATCATCATCATCATCGTGGACATCCTCCCTCTTATCTCCCCTATTCCCGTCTCTGTCTGCGGCACTTGTCGCCGGACCCTTTCTCAGGCAGTCGCATAGCTGAGGGGTGGCAAAGTGCAGCCAATTGATGCATGAAAACGAAATGCACGAAAACACATTAAACAACAAGCTGCCCCTTTGATGCAATGCCGCACGCGAATTTGCGCATTTCTGAAACCCTGCAGAAAAAGAACAGACCGAATCAATGAAGCCCCCCTTGGTACCGTTTTATTCGGTCGGGGATTGGTGATACATGCTGGTTGGTACGCCCTGTGCAATCATAACACATTGATGAAGAAGGCCCAGCTATTCCTACAAGATGACACCAGGCCCCGTGTCTAGGCTGATGTCATGAGGTTGCCCAGAGTCGGCTCTGTCGTGGAGTATGATAAAATGTGGCAGGTGGGTGATGGATGTAGGTAGCAGTCGGATGGATGTGGGTATGGCTCTGGGACAATCACTCCAGGCCACTGTAAGATGTGCTGTAAGATGTACCGTATGGTCTTAGTCCAACTCCATCGCGTCTGCTGGAGAGGTAGCCTGGTCGGGTACGTTGGGCTCCGTCTCGGGAGTCTCGACGCCGCTCATGGCAGGCTTGATATTGGTCACCGCCGAAGTCTGGTCGTCGCCGTCCTTATTTGCTTCGGAGACCGGGGTGAGGGCCGAGTCAATGGCGGCCTGAGTAGGGTCTTGATCGATTTTTTGCTCGACGTTCGTGGCCATGTCGGCAATCGTGTCAGTAGTAGATGTGGCATCTTTGCCAACGACAGATGCCACGGCAGCGTCGACAATATTTGAAACGACTTGAGTGACACTGGAGTCATCGTCGTATTTGGCTGTCTTCTCGTTCGTGACGGGAGCGGGAGCGCGACCATCGGCGGTTGTAGCCGGCTGAACTCCAGACTTCACAGTGGGCTCCCGCCGAGGGTCCGCACCGTTCATGTCAGGATTGTCTTGGTTCGCTGTTACTGCGCCCCGTTGACCGTCAATTGTGGTGGAGGTAGTGAGGCGGCCGCTTCTGCGAGGCGTTTTGGTAATCGTAGGACTGGGAGCCACTGCCACGTTGGAAGCAGAGTCGCCAACACCGCCCTGTGGGTGTTTACGCTCGTCACGTTTCTTCAGCTCGGAGACGATTCTGTCGTACTGTTTGCGAGTCGCCTCCTCCATTGCCGCCAGCTCTTCGACGCTGGCGGAATCCAAGGACTCATCGGTGGCGTGCACCTTGTCGCCAGAAGTCACGGGGCCGTACCTCTGCTGAGAATCGGCAGGGAAGACGTTATGCGATACTCGAGCTTCTCTGAGTTGCAGGAGGTTTAAAGCGGCTTTCATCTTCTCCCTATTTTCGCCTTCACGAAGCCTCCGCGGCAGTGTGACTGGCTTCATAGGAACCCTGGGGTCACGAAGAGCTCTGGGGAATAATGTTAGTGACTGAGCCAACAGCATACATAGGTGTTTAACTTACTTGTGCATGAAGTCTGCCTGAACACCCCCTGCAGATAGTCGGTAGACGTGTCCGAAGCTAGGATCACGGAAACCGCTGTGGCCTGCTGGCTCCGGATCATCGTCAATCTCAATGTAACCATTGTTGACGTTGCCACGGCGGAAGGCGTAGTGGATCTCGGACTGGCCTCTGATCTTCCGAAACTTGTGGGCAGGGCCCAAGGGGCCGACAGCTTGTTGGAGGTTGTCAACGTGGCATGGGCACCTGAACACGCTTGGATTCGGGGTAGTAGCCCGAGGTGGATCCAGGCAGTCAGTGTGCCACCATAGGCCACACGCGGAGCACGGGAGAATAGGGCGGTCATCTCTGGTGGCCTCCTTGCAGGAGTGACACAGAACGGGGTTGTTGTCCTTATCGACAATCTGGTGAAAGTCAAACTCCTTCTTGTCGATGGTCTTTTGCTTCCTGCGATTGCTTGTCAGCTGACGTGGCGCACAACAATAACAGAAGCACACAGATGGAGGATGGCTGGGGATGAGAGTGAGGGAGCAGGTTGTCGACAGTACGCAAAACGGAGACAGATCGAGCTGGGGCGGTGATGCTGAAGAATAGCGGGACTTACTTTGCTCCCTTGGGCTGGGGGACGAAGTCCTCGTATTCTCCGTCGGGGCCTGTCCTGACGCCCTCGAAATACTCCCGGGTCTTCTTGGGCAGGCGGTAGCTCACTGCGTGCTTCTTGTCGAGCGCAGTCATCAAAGCTCCCCATGGGCCCTTGTGCTGCTTGACGAGACCTGGATCGCGCTTAATGCTGCAGTCCCAACAATACCACTCCTCGTCCTCGTCGCTCAGGACGCTGTAGGGGATGAAAGGATCGTGACACAGCTGGTGGAAGGCGCGTGTGCATCCATCACAGCAGACGATCTCGCCGTTGCCGCCGCAGGCTGAGCAGAAATCGTCATTGTCCACCTGTATCAACATGTTAGTTGGGTGTTGATAGAGGTGGTCATTTGGGACGGTCCGATCAGAGGCAGTTGTGAGACACCGAGGCAGGGAAGGCGTGGCGTTGTGTCCAGTGATGAGATGAGCAGGGATGACCCGCCCACACCTCACTAAAGGTGGGCGGCACTGTCGGATGAGCCGCTGGGGGCCCTGCCACTGCAGTTGCACCTGGGCAGGGCCAGGGCCCGGGCCTGAGGGCCAAAACCCAAAACTTGGCTGACGACCCCGGCAACTGGCACCAGCACCAGCGCGCGCAACCAAAAAGTGCAGAAAAACACACAGCCGGTGCAACGATGACGGAAAAAATTGAATCTGGCTGGCGGGGCGAGGAATGGCATACAGGATGAAGTAAAGGAAAAGGGTAAGGTGGGTGCAATTATGCCGAAGACCACAATGAACGTGAACATCAAAGCAGATCGGACATACCTGAGCGTTCGGGTTTCCATTCATGGTAGGGCTGGCACGGTCGGCGCGGGCACGAGGATTTCCAGCCGCAGTTCCTGCCTTGTTCTTCATCGGCCTGTGAGTGAGGATGTGTCAGTACTCGTTCCACCAGTTGCATCGGTGTGCGGTGGTGCTCGGAGTCAAGACGGAGATGTTCAACAACGGCCTTTCGTAGCCGACGCAGGCAGTATCAATCGCGTGAGACCGCTTCCATCCACCAATAGCGGCGCAGATCTGTGATGCTCTGGCGATTTCCCGTAGTAAACTCAAGGCCAGGTAGGAGACACGTGAGTGCGATGCAGGAATGGGGAGGTAAGTCGGGCTTTAGGAGAAGGACATGTACTTACGACACCTTAAGTCGCGGACCAGTACGGGCCCGTTTGGCAGGGCGGACAGGTGTTGCAGCCCGAGAGGTCACGCCGGTGCTGGGCTCTGCGTGGGGAGCAAAGTCGGGCGACGTCGATGCAGCATCGTCGCCGTCACCGTCTTCGTGCTGCCGCTTTGCGGCGCGGGTTGCTCTGGCACCGCGACCAGTCGCAGCAGTTGGCTCCGGCTGTGGCTCCGGCTCCGGCTCCTCCACGTCTGGTAGTGACGATAAGTCCGACTGTGCGGACAGCTCACGAACACGTGAGCCTGGCATCGGCTCGGCTCTGGCGTGGCTGTCGTCCTTGGAGCGAGCGTCGTTGGTCAGGCGATGGGTGGTCTCCCTCGCCGCGCGTCTGCGCGTGGTTGCCAAGTCGTCCTCGCTCAGCTTCTGGGTGGGCGTGAAATCCGGAGCGCCGCGACGAGGGTTTCTGGAACGCTGTGGTCCCGGGCCTGGTGCATCGCCGACGGGGATGGTCGATGCAGCAGTCTGCTGGCCGGCGTTGTTGTTGGCGTTGGGTTCGGAAGACGCATTTGCGTTTCGTCGCCCTCTAGCGGGTGCCCGCCTTGGGCGCGCCGCTATTGGCTGGAGCTCAGGACCAGGTCCTGGCCCTGCCCCGTTGGGATTGGGGGCGCCCGTCTCGTCGGCAGCAACGGCGTCGGCGTCGGCGGCGGACGCGGCAGCGGCAGCGGCAGCGGCAGCAGCAGCAGCGGGCTCATCGCCGATGTCTTGCACCGGCTTGTCCTCGTCGGCCTCCTGCGGTGGGGAGCGGTGGTGACAGGGATTTGGCCGTCGACAGCGAGGAGTCACTAGCCACTGAGCCCGAGCGAGTCTTGCGCCGCGAAGGCGACGCGTTTGCGCGGCCATTCATTCCGCGCGATGCAGATGCAGATGCAGTCTTGCGGCCGGCGGAGCGGCCGGCGGATGGCTCGCGAGTCTGCAATTTCTGCCTCTTGGAAGGGTGGGGCGGAGTGGCGACCGCCTCGGGCTCGACCTCAGCTGTTTCTGGCTCGGCCTCTGCCTGCTCTGGACCCTGCAGCTCCTTTTGGTGCTGGAGGTCGTTCTCGTCAGTGGTTTCATCGGCGCTGTTGTCCTCATCCCGCTTGCGTTTCTTGTTGTCCGCAAGTTCTTGCAGCCTTGACAGGTCCAGGCTGACGAGATCCCTGTATGGGCCAGGCTGCGGCGGGTGGGGCACGTATTCTTTGTTTTCGCGCGTCTCTGCCTCAAAGTATCTGATGGCAGTCCCGTCTTTGTTTCCCTCGGCCAGTTTGGGCTTTAGATAGAGGCCAAAACTAAAGACAGAATTTGGGCTGGCCGTTTGGCGGAACATAGACTCCGCCAGCAACAGAAAGCGCGCATTGTCCTGGTACTCCTCGTATAGGGCCCGGTACGCGTACGCCACGTCGTATCTGTGTTGCTGGAGGCCTTCTTCCACGGCGGCGTCAAATGCTTTCTCCACGACTTCCTTCTGCGCAACAATGCGCTCGAGTTCAGACTCAGTATAGTGAGGCCCGTCGCGCAGCTGTGGCTGGGCTGGCGACTGAGGGGAAGATGGCTGATCAGGCTGGGCGGCAGGACTAGTAGTCTGCTGCGGCGCGGCCGACTGCGCGCGCGTCCTGGGTGCCATGTCGAGAATTGACGCGCTTTGCGCTGATGATTCGCGCTTGAAGAAAGTGTCGTCAATGTCGTTGAAAGACGCGACAGATCGCGGCGTCGTAGGTTGGTGAGATGAGGAGAATGAGGGTAGTTCTTCGATTGATTGCTTGACCGGGTCAGGCAGAAATGGATTTGAAGAGTACGTAGGTGGGAATAACGCAGAGCGTTTCGCCAGTGCAGGCTGTGTTAATGGGGGCAGTGAAGGTGGGATTGATTGCGAGTGAGAGGGCGACGGTGAGCTCTGAGATACGCGTCGTCGCGGGGTGGGTGAGCTGCGCAAGACAGATTCACTGTGCAGCAGAGGGGTTGGTGTCAATTCTGACGTGGGCTGGTCTTCAGGCTCAGGTTGAACGATGTCTGAAGTCGGGGGGATTGAGGCTGAAGCTTGGTGTTTGGTTGCTGCAGCAGAAGCAGTGAGGGTTGGCGAGTTGTTATTCTCGAGAAGTGGGAGTGCAGGTTCAAGTTCAAGGTCTGGCTCATGCTCAGGTTCAGTTTCTGAGTCTGCATCTGCTCTCGTGTCTGCTGCTGCTGCTGCTGCTGCTTCTGGAGGTTCGAGTTCAGGTTCTGCTCCAGATCCAGGTACCGCTTCAGGTGCAGGTGTTGACGAAGGCTGAGGGGTGGCCACGGCCGTGGAGGGGGTGGGCGACTGGGTGCCCGACAGGTCGAGTCGGCCATTCGAGCTATTGTCCCCAGCAGCAACTCATTCTTCCGCTTAAGAACAATACGCTTGCCCCCATTCTTGCGTGGCCCCGTCGTCGATGCACTCCCATCCTGCCCTGAGGAGCCGTCACGAGCCCCCGACGCGCCGCCGCCGTGAAATGGACTGCTCGCGCCAAGCAGCTTCCTGAACATGGCCGGCTTGGGCCTCGTCCCAAGCGGCTCCATCGTCTCCAGAACCCCCTGCCGGATGAGGCCATCCTCCTGGAAGCTCGCGAGCCTGGCACGCTCGGGCTCTATCCACGCCTCCATGAACTGCCTCGACCGGTCCAGCGACGCAGCATCTCTGCTCTCCTTGTCCTTGGCCCTGCTGCTGTCGTTGGATCCCCGCCGCCCTGCTCCTGTCCCACCCACAGCCGGACTCGAGTATCGCGAGCGCGTGGCTCTCGTCGTCGGTGGTGCACTCATAGCTGCCGCCCCGGGGGTGCCGGGCGTGGGTTCGCCCCCCCTTCTTCTTCGACGTGCTGCCTCGTGGCCCGGCCGCGCTCCTGCTCACGACCTTGGGGGTTTGCGCCTGCGAACACCAACCTATGTGCATTATTAGCAATTATTTTTGGTGAAAATCCGGGAGAGGACATGGTTTACTTCTCGGTGTGCTGTTCAGTCCGGGCGCAAAGCCGCACTGTTTGGGTGGGGGGCTTGGTGCTGCAACGCGTTCCCGGAGGCGGAGGTGCAGCTCTGGGAACGGAATGTTTGGAAAGGAGGCTCGAAATTTGAGAACGGACTGCCTTCTCCAAAAAAAGAGCTCTGAGCTAGGCTGGGCCGGGCTGCTGACAAGGTGCCAACGGGCTCGAGCTAGGGGGTCTTGACAGGTTTCGGAGGTGCGGGTTGGCGAGCCGATCCTCCTCTGTCAGGGGCTGCACAGGCGGCCGAGATCCTCTTCAGTGCTACCAAAACCGTCCAGGGCAGCATCTGCTTCTTCCCGCGACCGCCCGCTGTCATGGGTGCCCTCTCACAGCTCGAACCCCTCTGGAAGCCTATGAAGGTAGCCCGGTGGCTTGATGACAATTCAGTTGAAGTCAACACTATGTTTTCCTATGCAGACATTTCCGGGCGGAAATATTGTGATGCCCGTATGTGTGCTCAGGCGTAGACGGCGGATCTGTTAACTTTTGCCGGACGAGTTCAAAGAAGTCCACTCTGATACATGCCTCCCCTGATCCCTAACGAATTTATCTGCTTGGAACCAGCACCCAAGACTGGCTAGGACATCCGAGGAAAGATAGAGGGAAGAAAAATGGAAAAGACGGCAACAAGAACAGCATAGCCAGGCGCTGCAGCGGATGCCTTGGTGGCGTGAAGCTTGAAGGGTCGAAACTCCGTGGAGATGGCTCGCTCCCTCACTGACTGACTGGCGCTCACGGGAAGGGCTGCAATGGACGGCTTCCCATCTGGCATGGACGAGAAAGAAACCGGCCCAATTCATGTGGGCTTGATACCAGGGCTTCCTGCCAGTGGGCTCACAATTTCAACCGTATCATTTAACCTGTTCCGGGTTGTCGCATCCAATGTTGGTCTATTTTTTTTCTTTTCTTGGGATTTTCCTACTTGCATGCGATTTTGGCGGTACCGTCCCTCCTCCCTCTTGACCCCTCGGGTCTCAAAAGGTTCCCACAATGTGCCGGTGCGTCCGCGTCGCAAGTCCGATCACCTGCAGGACAACCGCCACACCATTTTTCTCCCCTCCACGGGATTGGGATTTTCCTGGAGTCCGCAGCCTTCCCATGGAATGTGCTGCGCGTACCTCAACTGACGTCTGAGCACCTCAGGTGCTAGACTCGACCAAAACTCGCGCAATGCAGCCTTGTGTCCAACCAGCGAAACTGCCAACTTGAAGCCTTCCATTCGCGGCGAGGGACAAAAGCTTCGAGGCCAACTTACGACTCGGTGGTCGTCTTCTTCTTCTTCTTGCCCTTGTTCTTGGCAAGGGGAAGCTCGAGGATTTTCAGAATTTCCTCATCCGTGATCTTGTTGTCGGTCTTGAACTTGGTCAAGTCCCAGGCGGAGGGCCCTCCGAGCCTCGTAATACCGTTCTTGGTGATGGCTGCATGGCTTGGTCAGTAATCATGGGGGCACGAATGTTGCGCGTAGACGGTTCCTTACCGATAGTGGTCCATGTCCTGACGACCGGGGAATTGTCCTTGTCGCCGACGAGCTCGTACTGCCGGAAGACACCGCTGCGGACGCACTCGACAACGCCGGTCTTGGCGTCCTTCTCGTCCTCGAGCTGCCTCAAGCTGAATGGGAAGAAGCCAAACTTCTTCTGGGCCTCGGAGTAGATCTTGCGAGAGGTGGGTCGCTTCAAGCCATACTGCTGGGCAGTGCGACGGTGCAGGGTGGACCGCTGGTCGATCTGCTTGACCTTGCCTGAACCCGAGCTCATGCCAATTTCGACGCCCCAGACCTCGCCGACTTCGGGGGTGCCATCTCCCTTGGAACCCTCGCCCGGCGCAAGTACAATCTTCTTCTTGTCCTCGATCTCGTTACGACCAAAGAGCCAGGAGGTGGTGCTCTCGACAATGTTGACATCGTAGCTCTTGGCAATCTTCTGGACCAGGTCGTTGATCTGGGCTTGGGTCTTGGGCTTGGCAGCCGCAGCCTTGGCCTTCTCCTCGTCGGTGCCAGAGGCCAGCGTTCCAGGGGGGATCATCAGTCTGAGCAGCAGCTCATTGGCGTAGTGGGTGGCCAGCATCAGGTCGGCATTCTTGCCCTCGATGACGTCGGTCTTCTTGTCCTTGGCCGGGACGATGATGGTGTCGCAGAGAATCGAGGGGAACCCATCGATCTGGGCACCAAGCTGGATCTTGACAGGCTCGCCCTCCTGAAGCTCAATGGCAGCCTCCTTCTCGTCCGTCTTCAGGGGGGTGTATGGAGTGACATAGGAGCTGGGGGAGACGGTGGTAGGGTGAGCAAAACCTGCGCGACGCCGGTGTCAGCAGGGCCATCTTGCAGAAGTAGAGCCTCGAGAGCTTCACGGGGGCGATTGGTTACCCTTGGAGACCTTCTTTCCACGCCAGACCTTGGAGATCTCCTCCTCGAGCAGCTGGTCGCCCTTGCCGCAGATGTCGGAGATCTTCTCGCCAGCGACGCAGAGATCCTTGACAGCAGCGAGGACCTTCTCGGAGATCTCGGCCGCGGTCTTATACTTGGTCAAGGTGTCCGGGTTGTTGAGAGAGTAATCTGCAACCTACGATCAGCATGCGGTCCATGCAGGCCGTGAACCAGACTCGAGCGAGCCACTGAGCATCGGCACGGCAACGATGGAGCTTGGCAGGCGGTCCGGAGGGGGCCAGGAGCTGTGTCTCGAATTCCAAGGCACAGTCAATGTTCGATGGTAGAGCTCGGGTGCAGTCAAGCTCATGGTAGCAGGGAGGCGAGCGAGCTGCAGCTGGAGGAGAGGGACGGGGAGAGGGGGTCCCGTCAGGAGAGGAGGGAGAGCTAACTGACCGATCTCCTTCTCTTCGGTCGCCATGTTTGCAGGTAGTTCCGATTGGGATCGGAGTGGTGGACAGTGGTGATGGAACGGAGAGAGTGGAAGGAACGGAGGTAAGGAAGGCCTAGAAGAGTCTCCCAAGTGCTTCGTACCTGGTGTAAGAAGGAGAGAGGGGTTGGGAACAAAGCTGGGGGACTCGAGGAGGGAGGTAGGAAGGTGGGCTCGTGATGTCTTGGGTAGCAGCTGCGAACGTAAGGTTCCCGTTGTGGCCAGGCGCAGGTGATTTTTTACCCCTCCACAGCATTTCAAGGTGGGGGAGGGGGCATTCTGTGGGAATTCGTGCCGTTCCAAGCAAGGTATGGCACAGGCACAGTACGTAAGGTTCGTCGGGTTCATCCACGTGTGACAGCATCCAATGCAGTACCCAGGTACCTAGGAACCCAGGTAGGTAGCTGCCAAGCCCAGCATTGTTAAGCTCTGGGCCTTTGGCTGCTCTGCTTTGCTTCGCTTTGCTCTGATCTGCCCTGCCCTGGCCCGTGGCCCGCTTTCCGCAGGTCCAGCAGCAGAAGCTCGAGTCGCAAGAGGCGTGCACCAGACCAGCCTCCTCCGTGCGGACAACAGACCACACGCGGGCCCCCCGGGAACCTGTCCCGCCACTTGATTTCCCACACCACAGCAAGTATACTACCCGTGATTATTGCGATTCCGTTGAATCCCATGCCTCCGTCCACCGTCCCCCCAGACCCTATTCTGGGACATTGCTGGAGAAGTCGCTGATTTGGATGATCCTCTCTGGCTGTCTGCATGTCCTAACAGCCCTGGCTGGGACTTATTTCCCTGCTCAATTTTCTAAGAGGAGATGTTCGGGTGACAAAACCGTGGTGTCGATTTAAGTTTATTCAGGGAATGCGAGCCCGTGGTACCGCTGTACGTGCCTCTCTCTCACTCAGAGCCGGATGGTCCGAGCGCCATACAAGGTTCGCCAGGCCCCAAGCGTCTCCAGGGCTCTCTCCAGTCGCGACCGATCCCAGAAAGCGCGACAACGCGATCGAGACACATCGACCTTGAGCTCCATTGTTCTCCCTCCTTGCCTTCAACCGATCCTCTAAGTGGCAGGGCTGGATCATTGAAACTCCTCTCGGTACCGTGTGGCCGGTTGCCGTGAACCAAAGCGGCACGTCGCCCCGTTGCGACAGTCTTGTCGCGATGGCATCTTCATCTGATTCCTCTGCCTCTGCATCCGCATCCGCATCAGCGTCTGCATCAGCGTCTGCCCCGATACCTCCTACGACCTCTGGCGAGCCCTCATCCCCCCTCTCGTCGGGTCCTGCTCCACCTGCACCCTCTTCCTCTACGCCAACAGCCGAGAATGGCGCCGCGGACGACCCCCCAGCCTCCAAGAACCACGCCTCCAAAGAGGCCACGCCGGAGACCAAGATACCTGTGCGAACCGAGGAATCATTCAAGGCCTATCAGCTGGAGCGCATTATTGCTCGGGACAAAATCGCCACTGCCGCCCTGAAGGAGAAACAAGCACGCCTCGAGGACAATACGAAACGATGGAAACAAGAAATCGACGAGTACAAGCTCATCCAGACCCAGCCCGCTTCGCTATCGTTTCCCCCCTCCAGGTTATACGGTGAAGGCTACAAAGGATTCGGCAACGGGCACACAGAGAATCGCGGCCCACCACGTTTGATCTACCCCAAAGACAAGCCTCGCGCTGGCAAGCGAACCACGCCAGCCTTGCCGAAGCCCAGCCGGAAGGACCTGAAGGAACAGGCTGATCAGTATGAAGAATTAGTACCGGTGCGGCTCGACGTCGACTGGGACAAGCTTAAGCTACGCGACACGCTGACATGGAACCTTCACGACCGCCTGGTACCGGTCGACCTTTTTTCCGCACAACTCGTCGAAGACATGGGCCTAAAGGCGCCGCATGACCGGCCTGTCTATGAGCAGATCCAACACCAAATCCGCGAACAGCTGCTCGACTTCTACCCCATGGTCTTTTCTCAAGAGGATGCGCTCGACCCCGAACTGCCCTACTCGGCATACAAGAACGACGAAATGAGGATACTGATAAAGCTCAACATCACGATTGGCGCAGTCACACTGATTGACCAGTTCGAATGGGAGATGAACGAGCCAGATAACTCCCCCGAGGAGTTCGCTCGGATCATGGCTAAGGACCTGTCACTATCAGGAGAGTTCACTACGGCAATAGCGCACTGTATCCGCGAGCAGACGCAGCTGTTCACAAGAACTTTGTATGGCATTGGACATCCTTTTGATGGCAGGCCAATTGAAGAGCCGGATCTTGCTGCCTCCTTCTTACCTTCGCCTTTGCCCACAGTCTTCCGGCCTCAACAGCAAGCCAAGGACTATGCTCCCTATCTTTACGAGCTGGGTGATGCTGACCTGGAGAGGAACGAGGTCATATTCGCGAGGGAGCAGCGTAAGCAGAAGAGATCGGTGAACAGGCGTGGCGGTCCACAGCTGCCCGACCTGAAGGAGCGACAGAGGACGATACGAACGATGGTCGTATCCTCGACCATCCCCGGAGCTGCTGACTCAATCGAGAAGACGGGGCTGTTCAAGAGGGTGGCAGGTACTACCACTGGGAGAGGCAGGGGACGTGGCCAACATGACGGCACATTCTCGGATTCGGACGAGAGTGAAGAATCAGCACCAGACTCCCCGGCTATGTCACAGCTCGCAGGCACCGCGCGAACCCGAGGCATGCGCGGTGCAGCCACTGTTGCGCAACAGAAGATGGCGCACCTGGGCCGTTCCGAGACGCCCGAGGTCATCACATCCCATCATCACGAAACCAGGACGTCAAGGCGCTTTGGTCGTGCCTTGGACGAAACACCTGACGAGCCTCGTAACCACTGGGTAGCAATCAAGGTGCCACGAACATTCGAGAGAGCGAGAAAGATGCTTTTGGATATGAAAATGGGGAGGCCCATCACGCGCCCTGATGCTTCTCACACTCCCCGCCAACCCCGAGCTCCTAGCGCATCGCTCCCGCCAGGCAGTATGGGCCCACCGTCGACTCCTTCCGCACCACCTAAACCACCTCTTCTCAAGAACGCAAGCAGCATGTCGCAGCCTGGCTCTGCACCTGTGCCTCAAGTCGGTCGCGTACCCGCCCCTCCGCCCCCTGGGGAAGGCCAACCCCCCCTCGAATTAGTGAGTCATCAGCTGTCCCCGAAACTCCCACTGTCCGGCCTCTATGGCTGGTCACTCCATGCGCATCATGTTCTCAGCTGACCATCTCGCAGCCTCCACCACCAGAATGGCTAGAAAAGTCACTCAATGATCTGCGCAAATCCTGGCCCCATGACAACTTCGAGGCCACAATGCGGCATTGCGCCGTACACGCCGACACGGAGACCACCATCATCCCGGCGCCACAGATCCCGCGAGGCCAGCCCCTTCCTGAAAATGTGAAGTACATGTTCCTCCCCAGGATCAGGTGTCCGGACTGCCCCGGCAAGCTCTACACGCCTGGCCCAGACACGACGGCGGCCAATTTCGAGGTGCACCTGCGTAACAAGCAGCACCGCGACAAGGTGAACAAGCGTGTGGGCTTCGAGACTGACCCGGCCAAGGCGGGCTCCTCTGCGGGCGCCCCGTCCTAGATGTGAAGGCACGGCAGGCGGAGTCACGATTGGGCCAGAGGCGTCCGGGAGGGAAGTAATTAACCCGACGGTCAACAACGACTGTGACAGGGGAAAACAAATCTGGCGTCGGTCTTCACACCTCCCCACCATCTCAGTTAGCTACAATCAGTGGCGGACTGCGCCCAGGATCAGCACGAGGTCTAATGCGAGGGGGTCACGACGGGCAGCAGTCGGGCCAGGGTATACCAGTGGGGAGAACCGGTGGGTTCCTGTTCAAACGAAGAGAGAGCCCCGCGCGATCCCGGAAGTTCAAGACCGAACGAGGTTCGCAAGTGGGGAGGAGGAATGGGCACACACTCTTGAGGAGTAGGGGGGAAAAGGCGTATCGGGCGAGGCGAGTGATCCAAGCCGGGGGGCCTTGCCTCATTTATACAATGTGTTTTATTGGTGTCTATTGCTCTTTTTTCTAGGACTATGAAAGGCAGTGTAGATTAGTAGGGGCTTCTGAGGATATACCAGATGATGATATTGTGTGTAAAAGTCGATGCTTGCTAATGACTGCTGCAGCGGACGCCCTTGTGGGCATTGGCGTCCGGCTGAATTCCAAGGCAAGTGCATCACCAGCGAACTCGTGAAGTTTTGAGATGGCCCGCGGGCGTGCCCAACCTCCCTCCCGCCTTAGCTCTGTGTTCAGTATCCCCGGCTTCGTGAGTTTGGCTCAGCTCATGGGGCCCATGCCCAGGTCGAGCTGGGCCCGTCGCTGCAATCATCTTCTCTTACGGATGAGCCATTAATACCGGAGGTGCCACCGTTCGGGTAAGGCAGTTACAGCCATGGATGTTCAGACTCAGACCCATTCATCCTTGGGAAACTACCTTCGTCATCGGCTTGCGAAGAGGCCATGCCTGACAGGAGAGGGACCGTCCTAAAGAACAACTGCTAGGGGGATTATAGCACACAAGCTAATGAATGGTACGGTCCGGGCCGGGCTGGTCGGTCGGAACCAGGCACAAGCGAAAAGGGCCAGCAATCATTTTCCGGGTTTCCGTTTCCCGTGGCCCGACCCAAATTCGATCGACTCGGGGAAGGGGCGTCTGTGGTGTGACGGGGACAGGGGGAAGGAGGGTCGTCGACGACACACGGTAGATATAGCCTGCGTGGTGTTTCACGCACCAAAAGCAACCACCTCGCATGGCGACAGAAGCAAAGGAGACATGACAATGCGTGCGCGTGCGTTGCGCATGCGCACACTTGCACCTGCAGAGATGTATACACGAACAGCGAGTGGCTGACATGCGCATTCAACAACGACCACGAGCGATGACGATGATTGACGATGAAGGAAGAACGAATATGATGCTGCTCTCTCTGAATTCAGACGGCCCAGGAACCTTTTCTACAATAAGACATACAAAGATAACACAATAAACACAATGATGCTCAGAACGCTACTCTTCTACTGCCCCCAGACCACCTCCCCCTTTCCCTCCTCCCACTTGCGTCTATCTTCCATAGCATACCCCTTTGCTGGCTGGATCAGGGCCAACGGTTTCGTCTCGCTCATTCTGCCATCGACTGCAGCTTCTTGGCCCAAGAGTGTAAGTAGGCACGTTCATTCCCAATGCCGAAGCCTCGAGACCTCTCACGATCCCCGTCCCTTTCCTCATATTGGTCAACCAGCCTTCCCTCGTGAGTGAAGAATCGGACAATACAGGTAGGTTCTTAGTCAGAAGAGTAGTAAAGGGAGAAGGAAAAACAACAGATTCTCTACAAGAAACGAAGCTGCTCAAATGCCAAGTGCCTCCCAAAACCCCAACCCATCCTTCGCTGAATGGGCATGTACCCAGCAGTCCAGTCGATGGTGCGCGTGCGGCTGGCGCGTGTGAGTATGTGTGTGTTCACAGGATGGCAAAGCCGGAAAGAAAACTTTTTACTTTCTCTTTTCGATTCGTCGAGATCAGATGGAACGCCGGGGTCATGAAAAGCACATTCCTTTCCCCTCCAAGCACCCCCGTTGGACGAGAGTAAAATTCCCCCCCATACACGAAATTGTGAAGAAGCACCGAAAATAAAAATCAAAAACAGCGTTTCGTTCCTATTGTCGATTTCCTCTTTGTGGGTCCAGCCGCGAGAATGCTCTATATACCTCTCCCGCCACCCCCAAGCGTGCGAAAGTTCGTTCTGATAAGCGAGCGTGTCGAAAATCATGAACAAGGAAGGGGACTGTCCTTCTCTCTCTCAAGGACCCAAACTCGGCGGCTGTTGTCGCCGGCATGATGGAAGCGTAAAAAATGGAAACGCCGTGTCAGAACCAGAACTCCTTATCCATACAAGCACCTCATGAAAGTCTCCACGTCACATTTTATTTTGCTCTGCGCTATTCACGTGCGCCTCCCATGCAGTCGAAGGCTCGCCGCCTTCGTGAGCTGAAGGAAGCAAACGTCTTTATCTGAGCAATTTTCCCCATTGGCCTGCACAGTCGCAAGTCGGTGAGATATCACGCTCACTCATCAATAAGGCCGGGGGCTGGCAGTGTTATTCCGGCCCTGACGGCCGACACGCCCCCCTCGGCGCCCAGGTGCACCTCCGTTCATGCCGCCATCGGGCAAGTTATAACCCGGGCCGGGCATTCCGTAGCCGTAGCCTCCTGCTCCCATAGACATGGGCATCGGGAATCCTGGGGCGGCATACGGGCTCTGGTTAGGAGCAGGCATGCCGGGCTGAGGCACAGGGCTGCCGCGGTACTGATCGATGGAAGGGCTAGCGCTGGGGAAAGGAATGCCAGTCTGCATGGGGTAATAGCCACCCATAGGTGGAGTCCCGCGCATCATGCTCTGCTGGTACTGCATCTGCTGGAAGTTCATGGCAGGCGCCATTGGGCCCTGGGACGGGAACGAGTTGTACTGTTGGACAGACGGATCAACGTTATCGCTTCGCGGGATAGCAAAGCCTGCGTCGTAGCCTGCGTTGGCACCAGCGGAAGCGGCATTGAGTGGGTTGTAGAACTGACCGCTGTTAGCGGCGGCGTTGTACTGAGCGGCGGCAGCTTGCTGCGCTTGTTGTTGCTGCTGCTGTTGAGCTTGCTGAGCTTGCTTTTGTTGCTGTTGAGCTTGCTGTGTCTGCTGCTGCTGCTCGCGCTGCTGCTGGTTGTTCGAGCTGTTGGCTCTGGGAGTTCCACGGTGTCGTTCCTGGTGGTTGCCTCCATCACCACGGGAAGCCCCATTGCCGTTGCGAGTTGACAAGCCAACTTCGTCCATCAAGCGCTTGTAGCCCTTGTCCGGCTGAGCCTTGATGCGCGACAGCACAGACTTGACGTTCTCTACGACCTTGCCCCGGACGTTCTCGTCAAAGAACGGCGTCGTGATGACCTTGAAGATCAAAGTTGCACCACACTGGGAGTCGCTGAGAATCGCCTCAAGCGTCTGGTCGTTGGGGCTGAAGAACATGGCCTGCACAATTTTGTCGCGGGCTTCTGGTTCCGTCTTCTGGTTGATGACCTTAAGGACGGTCAAGTATGCGACCTTTTGGGTGCAGAGGGTGACCAGGTACGGGACGAGTTGAGGCGCCAACACCGTCCTACGGTGAGGGAAGGTGCAGGTGTCCAGGAACCATGTGAGAAGCAAGGCCGCGTTGTGGTTAGTAGCTAGTTGCACGCTGTGGAGTGCGATTGCTGCAGCTAACAGTCTCTGCTGGTCCTTGGTGGCGTGGTGGCTCTCCAAGCAAGCCCGCATACCGCGAGATCCAAATCGACCCTGGGCAATCTGCCACATGCGACTCATCATGGCCTCAAAGATGAAATCAGTGTACGGGGCACCGAATCGGAGACAGCCTTGCAGGACATAGTTTCCGTATTGGTCCAAGAACAGGCAGACCGTGTACGGACGCAGATGGTCTCTGATGACGCCCATTTGATGTTCAGTCTTGCAGACGCTGATGATCTTCTGGGCAGCCCAGGTGCCGTTCTTGTGCACGCCGATTTCAGCAAGGTGCGGCGCGATGAACTCCAACATCGCATCACGAGTTGGGTCAGAGCACTGCTCGAACAGCTTCTGCACGACCGTGTTGCCAAGGTAGTCCGAGGACAGCTCGGCAATCTCGGGCAACATGTCGTGGGCAATGTTCTCGATCTCGGCCTGAGACAGAGCTGCGTTGTCGATCCTCTTGCGAATGTCACGAAGCTTGGGTGCGTCGTACATCCTGGTGTGCGTGGGCTCCCCGATCGGAGGAATTTCCTCGGTCAATTTACCGTACGTGATGGCCTCTTGCAGATTGACACTGATGCGACCAACGTCCTCCTCATTGGCACCGAAATCCTTCACTATGTTCAGAATATCTGCGCTCATCTCCGACAGTGGCGGCACTGATGGTGTGCCTGGTCCAGCAGCTTCAATACCGACGGCTGCAGGAGTTTGGGTACCGTTCTGTCCTTGAGTGAATGGAATCGGGCTCGGGGAGGGCTGCGCTCCATCGTGTCCAGGCGTGTTCGACGCAGATGGTGGCTTTGCGAAGTTGATTCGAACAGGGCCAGCCCCAGGGAAGATCTCTTTGCCATTCAAGGCGTTCTTGGCGGCCATCGCACTGTCGATCCTCTCAAAGTTCACGAATCCGCAGTTCTTATGTGTCAGGACTCTTGTGAAGAGAATAGGGCCGAACTGCTTGAACATCTCCGTCAGTGTCGTGGTCGTGGTCGACGTGGGGATGCTGCCGAGCCAGAGGGCGCTGGTGGGACCAAGTTCCGGTTCGTCGGCGGTCAAAAGACCATTGTTTCGGCTGCTCGATCGACCAAGGTTGATTCCGGCGATGGCAGGTGCGAGGTCGTCGGCAGTCGACGCCTTGTCATCTGCCAATCCGAGCTCCGCGGCGGTGATAGAGCTGTCAAGCCGGGAGGGTGTCGGATAGTAGCTGCGAAGAAGCCGAGAGGGATTAGGCGTGTCCAGGACACCAGCCGTTCTCGCGCGGGGCCGGCTGATAGCCGCCTGGTTGGCGTATGCCTGAACAGCCAGGTTGTGGTCGCGAATGGCAGCTTGGGTCGCGGCAAGTCGTTGTTGGATCAACTCGTATTGACTCTCCAGACTCTCCTGCTCGTAGCCGTCGTCTTCGTTGTCATACTCGTCCTCGTACGTATCCTTGTTGTTCACCGAGTAGGACCGGAAACGGCTCGCACTCGCCTGTCGTGCGAAGTCCGGCATCATCGTTTGAAGATACGGGGGGTCCATCTGTGATGGCTGGGGCTGGGGCGTACCCATCAGGCCAAGATAATCCAAAGTCCTCGCGGGGACATCGTTTTCTGCGCCTCCTTCCCTCGAAATTTGGGACTGCGTAGGCGAGCTAGGCCCGTTGGTTGAGACGCTAGCTATGCTCGCCAACGTTGAGCCCCTCTCGCGACCCACTGCGTTCCAGCTGCTGCTGAAGATGTTCGGGCCAAAAGGCGAGCTCGCTCCCGACGGGTGCGGCGCGAACGGGCTGCGCTGGGGCATGGAACCAGCTCGGAGGCGCGATAGCAAGGCAGATGGATTGTTCGAGGGCTCGGTTGGCTCGAGGCCAGGCGACGGCGACTTGAAAGGACTGTGTGACGGTGAGGGCCTTGACGTCTTGAATGCCAACGCCGGTATGCTTAGCAAGCCGTTGGCAGGGCCGGTGGTGGACAGTCGAGAGGGCAAGGTGCCTGCCCGTGCACGGCGTGTCGAAATGGGAGAATCTTGGGAGGAAAGTTGGGTGAAGTCGGGGAAGCCATCTGTGGGCGATTCTGGGATGTTCTCGCGCAGAGGGGTCGAGTTCCCGCTGGTCGGCGGGCCGCCCCAGGGATTCAGGGGCAGACTGGTCACACCCTCCTGGGCTTGGATTTCCCGGGCCCTAAATACCAACGATGGACTGTTAGCAACCTTTTCCGCGACAGATTTGGAGCCGCTCCGGCACCATCAGGATGCCGGGCAGGAGTTCCGCTGTCGAGTACGCACCTCTTGCTGGACAGGAAACGTCCGCTACCAGGAGCAGCTAGCGGATCGTGCGAAGGAGAGCCGGCCCCTGATCGCGTGGCCGAAGTCATCTTTGCTCCTGGATTAAGGCCTGATGTTGTTGGGAGACCAAAGGGCGAGCGAATTGGTGCACTTCCTCCAGACGATGGCTCGTTCGGAGAGGTGCTGGCGCTGGCGGGGTTTGACAGCGACTGGCCAAGGCCAGGCGGCGGCGCAAACTTGCCAATTGTCAAGTGTTCTGGTCTAGAAGTGGACATTATGGATTAAACTCAATCCGAACCTCATCAGACGGGTGTTCGTTCGTTCGTAAGCTGTTTCAATAGGGCTCCGCCGGTTGGAAGCTAATATTAGGAAAGCCGTATGTTCCGTGGGGTGTGCGAAAAGTCTCGGATCGAGGAGTCGGATGACGATGGACTGGACTGCACAGCACGACAAATGCGTCTGCGGTTCTCGGTCGAGATGAGTGGGTAACTCGAGTCGTGGAGAATGACGACAACACCACTGCAACCGTTCAAGATCACAGATCCCCGATGGCCCAAGCTACCTCGATCAACTCGGATACTGGAGGATACTGAGAATTCTCGGCGGCCGGGCAAATCAGGCCGTCAGAAGCTCCAAGGATAGCGGCGCCAATGCAGGGAAAATCGGATTGTTGCTGCCGCACCTCAATCAAGGACCCACTGAAGGGTCGGCAGAGAAGAGGTGAAGAGAAGGACAGAGATCTTGCCGCAAAGAGGGTTGTCGGGTTTGGCGCTGGTGAAGCTTTGGCCCGGGGCGTGACAAGCAGGGAAAGTCGCTGGTTGAGGCGGTGAGCTGTGCCAGAGGGCGAAGGATTACAAAGGTCGACAGGCTGGCTGCAGGCGAAGGCGGATTCGGGCAAGAGGTGCAGTCGCAGAAGCGTCCGGGTCTTGTCGAGTCAAGTGCTTGAACGGAGAAAAAGTTGCTCGTAGGCTGGGAAGGGGACGCAGTTGTGGGGTCTAGAAGTGAAACTTGGCAGCGGCGCGAGCTGTGCTGCAGCAAAAAGGAGAGTCGTGTCTCTTGTCGTGGGTTTTGATGGTCTAAGTCCGGACTGGCCTCCAACCTCCATGCGTTCGTTCCTGCTCCTGGGATCGCCTGAGTGCTGTTGACCGGCGAAATGCAGCGCGAGGACCTTGGGGGCAGTTCTCGCGGGCGTGGTTCGGTGTTTGTTGAATATCACCAAAGCACTGTGGCAGACACGGAGAGGGAGTGCGATGGGGGCCGGGTGCGCGGGGCAAGGGATTGACCGGAGAAACACACAAGGTCGAAAAGACAAGAGGCAATCAACGAATCAACTCAATACACAGGCTTCATTAGACGGCTTTGTGACGACGAAGCCTGGAGAAGAGGAGGAAGGGGGAGGAACTATGCTGGTAGAGATGACCAACGGTGGAAGAAGTCGAGGATGAGGTTGCGAAGGAGGTCGAGGTGGGAAGAGGTGATCTAGGTAAGGCACGGTATGGTACGTAAGGGGGTAGAGGCAGGCTTGGAGCATGTCAAGCCAGGTAGTCTCGTCCTACGATTGCCCAGGTGTGCTGGGAACTATCTACAGGTAGACCACGTCCAGGGCTGTACTAAAGTCGGACCAGCTCCCAAGGGACACGCACACATTGATGGATCGCTGCCGGGGGGAGGGTGGGATGGTGGATGGCTCGATGGCCTGAACCTGACGATGGCTGGCTGCTGGAGCAGAGAAAGAGAGAGTCGTGCATGTCCTGCCAACCTGCTGCCACCAGAGCACAAACGCAAGCCATTGGCTGTGACGGCTGATTCCAGGAGGAGGGGAGGGCGAGGAGATCCAGCAGGGCAGGAGGGCGGCAGGGGGGCGGGCGTCAAGCAGCAAGGGTCAGGGCAGTGTCAGTTGGCCAAGCCAGGACGGATGAAACACCCAGGAATAAGGGGTAGCAGGTCCCCCAAGAAGGTACATGCACGGGAGTACCGTGTCAGCGAGTGTATACGTATACCGCTACCGCGGTACCTAGGTGGCTTACATCAAGTCCTTCGGGAGCGGCGGGCTGATGGTACTTTGGCTCATCTATCCCGCGCAGTCATGGCGTATGCGCCATCTAGAAGCATTGAGAACTACTTTCCATGAGGGCGGGCGGTCACTGTATTTATAACAGACCAAGGTACCCAGGTAAGAAGGTGGGCAAGGTTTCCAGCTGAGCTGGTGTCGAGATGGAAGTGGAATGGCCAACTGACGTTGCCCTTGCCGTTTATCGCCCCTGGGGTCCGTTACTTACCGTCGCCGTCGCCGTCGCGATGCACTCCACTGCGTTGCGACTTCCCTACTTGGCTCCTACCTTGAGCAGTACGTGAGTGAGTCGGATGGTGAAGGGGGAAAGGGACCAGGTACAGATACGTGTATCTACACACCAACCACACCTGGCGGCAGCACAGTCCGACCTCTTCTCAATTTGGATTTTTGGGTGCAGCGAGGTGCTGGGCTGTAGATCCAGGGGATCATGAGATCTGACGTCGGGGCGTCGTCGGTTTCTCGTTCCCTAGTGCGACTCTGTGCGCAGGCGCAGATCCACCATGGGCCGACTCACCAACGTGCCGCCACCAACCAATGCAGACTGACTTGCCTATTCAATAACTCCAGGTATCTAGGTGGTCATGTCAACCTACAACGTCTGCAGCATATTCAACGCCCACGCCAGATGTGCACGACGGAAAGAAGAAAAAAAAAGGGGGGGGGGCATTCCAGCTTGAAGCTCACGCAGCTTGCCAGCAGGCTGGTCTAAAGACGTTGCAGCGTCAAGCTCAATCTATCTGATGCTCGGGGTGCCTGCGTTTGACCAGTCGGCCGTTGGCAGCGAGCTCTTGTCTGGGCCATCCCCAAACACCTTCCCCACATTGCTGGGACTAGGGATCGCCCTCACTTCCCCTCCTCTCAGCCGCCCAAAAAGAGAGTCGCCGTGATCTGCAGGCCTTGCTCCCAACACCGACGAAGCTGCCAGGCTGTCAAGGGACTGTACACGACTCTATTATTATGCCTTGAACAGGCTGGCGTAAACCACCACGTTCTCTAGCCCCAGGAGTAACCTGCTCATCCCTGGGGCTGCGGCACAAACGCAAACCTGTCTTAGCAGCCCTGTTATGATCACTCCCGGGTCGGCGCTGATCTCTTGTTCGTCGCTTCAAGAGGGCAGGCAAAAGCCTACCGTAAAGTCAGGGACTGTACGGAGTGTGTTATTGACAGCCACAGCCTGATCAACCAAGCAGATTCGGCCTCCCCGACACACCTGGGTAACCTCAAAGGTCGTGTCTACCTGGTTCAACCCGGCTGCCACCTCCCCCACCCCAAAGCTAAAAGCCCCCAAGATGACAGGTCTCGGGAGTCGAGTGCGACTCTATCTGCCTGTCCTCCCGGCGCCGTGCCCTCCATAACATCGGACCAGTTCAACGTCAAACCTCAACATCTCGGATTGCTTTGACGAACCATCCCACTTCCCGCTGGCTCACCGCTGCTGCCAGCAGTCGCAGCGCATCGGCATCACGGTCCCGGATGGCGTCTGGCCGACCGACCGACCGACCGACGGCACACACGTGCATCCGGAGTATCATCTGGACGTCTCGGTGCTGCGTACAGGTCAGCTCACTCGTCAACGAGCCCAGCTGGCCGCGAGGCAGGCTCAGGGGGTAGGTCGGCGATTCCATCGTGACGACCGAAACCAGTCACACAGCCCACAACCGCGCAACCTTAATTGAACACAGGCCAATGCCGTACTATGGAGCAGTCAATGCAAGCGTGATCACCAACCAAGCAGCGCCCGTGGTTCAGGCGCAGGGCATCCGAACTCTTCCCGGGTCAATGTGTGTGTACGCGTGCATCAGGGACTGAGCCAGCCCAAGCGTCCCACCACCGCGCAAACAGGTCCTTTTCGCTCATGGGCCAAGCTGCTTCGAGGGAAAAGCTCCTTGGTTGCATGCTCGGGTCGCCTCTCAAGCCGCTCTACTCGTGATATGTCTGTCCTTTCGGATTCGCGCTCCCAGGCACGAGATATCACGGTGCGGCCACTCTGGTAGACTAGTGGGCCACCAGTCGTCCAAGCCTTGTCCGCCCTGCAGCTAAGAGATCTGAAACAAAGTAACAGCTGCAACCTCACCTGTGAGCCCAAATGGTGGCTGTCTGTGGTCTGGCGGCGGCTCCCAGCCCCGACTGGCCGCATATGCACGCTGCAGCTTTGGGTAATCGCGGTGAGCTTCCACCATGAGGAGCTGGTGGGTCTAGATAGCTCAGAAGACGAGCGACTTTGTCCCGTCACACTTTTCCGTCCAGGATGCTTTCGCCCGGAAGCGCATAACTTCAAAGTTGGCAGAAGTCCTCGTACGCAATGGCATGACGTGGGGCGCAGGCTCAGTCTGGGCGTGTGGCATGAATAGGAGTTGCGAGAATCCATTTACGTGCGGTGGCGTGTAACCCTGGGCGCCGCTTTGCAGAATCTCAGCCGCTGCAGTGGCCGCGTCTCAACAATTGCGCATTTTCCTGCGTCTTCGCTCCCCTGAAAAGTCGACTGCCTTCGGACCTCCAGTCGCATAGTGCTCTATTCCCGTCGACGACGTGCGCGCTCTTCGCTCATTATCTTGGTCTCTTTGTCCGGCTTAGGTAATACATTGTCAGTCCAGACCCCTTTTTTCCCACCCAGCTGTCAGACAACCCATGGCCGCTTCTATTTTTACACTGCCTTGAACCTTTTTGTAACATTCCCCGACAGACGCAGATCCCGGAGCACCGCACCGATACGTCGCAGGCGTTTGCTCGCCTCCCGAGAGATCTCAGCACACCGAGATCGACACTCTTCGGTATCGAAGAGGGTTGTCACATCTAGTTTCCGAGGCAGCTTCGTCAGCCAATAATACTCGTCAACACTGTTCATATCAAGTCAACCCATCACCGACGAGGCTTGCAAGACCGTGTAGAGGAGGTACCATCTCACCGACACCCCCATTTTGCAAGATCATCCCATCATAACAAGATCCAGTCGTCTCGGCTTCAGGCCTCTTGTCCACGGTACCTGACCGGGGGTGATACTAGGCGGCTCTGGGGAATGGGTATATTCATAGACCCGGAATAAGCTTGTGGTACTGCGGGGTGTCGCATCAGGATGAGTTCCTCACCCCAGACCAAAACGACACACACAAGTCAAGAGCGGGACAAGCCAAACCTCCAAACAACGCAGGTTTCTAGAAGCAACGTCGTTTCGTTGCCGAGTACTTGTTGAAACGAGCTGTGGACGGTGGTGGAAACCTCCGATGGGGAACATGCTCGGCCGCCGGCTCTTGTCTGTAGCGCCTCTCAGCCACGCACGTGTCTGGGGGCGCCCGGCGGCGCTTGGCCAAGCCACCATCGATGATGTCGTGGGCTGGTATGTGTCCGTGATTTCTGGGCCATGTGGATATCAGACAGATGTGCACTGGCTACCGCCCGGGTATAGCCAGCACTGGCCGGGTGACTGGCCAAGATACCTATGTATTTGTTTTCTCTCGCTGGATCGACACGGCGAGGGCTAGCCCGGAGATTTCGACATTCTGCGCAAGTGGCCAGTCTCCATTACATGCAAGGTGTGTCGAAGTCCAACGCCGAGGTCTGTGCAGTCTACAGACTTTGAGCCTCCCGCCTCGGCGCGGCACGTTGTCAGCTATAGAGCAGGGCATAGCATATACGGGCGCACCTCCCTGTCCTACAACGCCCCATCTCCGGCTCAACAGGCCCTGCAACACCCTCCCATGCAGCCCACTGAGGCACTGAACTCGGTGCTTGCATCCCAACTGCATGGTACATAATGCACTTTCCACGAGGGCCCATCAGACCCAGCGCAGCGGTGTAACAGGTCTATCCCCATGCCTTGAGCTTGACGTCTGATCAAACAAACACGCTGACTCGCCTTGTCAGAGGTTGGCCGGGCCTCGAACAATCCTCGCAATCGTGATGTGATGGCGGAAGCAACGGGGGCGGGACTCAGAAAAAGGCCCACGGCTCTCTTCTGTTGGATGACAGCTGTGGGATGCTACCTGGGCACTGTACATGCTGCCTGGCCAAACGTCCAGAATCCGCAGCGAGGCCCCAAGTAGGTAAATATGCCCGGATAGAGTTGGTGATCTACCCTGCCACGGCCGATGAGCTCTGGGATGCTGGAGGAGTGGTCGAGTCCCCTGTGCATTGTACCCTGCGCATGCCGTGCTCTGATATGCTGTTTCCCCCTACGTGCTGTACTGTTTCTATGTACGCAACCAATGTCAGCCCCAACAGGCTGCTTGGAAGAACCTCAAACAGCATGAATCTCCACATCGGCACAACATCATGAAGCTTCTGTCATCATCGTGCGTCGGTTCGTCTCTTCTACAGCCGTCTGCTAACATTCGTGCCGTGACAGAACGGATTGGGAGTACACACGGTCTGCTGACTAAGGACGCCGTGCAGGGATGGGTGGCCAAAATTAAGCCGCGGCCCACCCGCGGGCCGTCTCCAGACTACTGCGACCGTCTCGACGCTCCTTTCTGGCCCCGGCCGACGCGTGTCTTGTCCGAGATAGACTTCAGTGGAAGATGCGCCCCCATTGTTTCACCACTCCCCCATGGAGGCGAAATGCTCACAGCCCTAGCTCTCACCCCTACAACTTCCAAGCAGTCGGGAGAAGCGCCTCCAAACCTCGATTCAGTCGTCAACTCCGAGCCTGGCAGCGTATCATCATCCAGGGTACGACGGCTACCTGAGTAGCCTTCAGAGCAAGCAGCAGTGCAGCTTCGACCTTACCCCCTGTCTTCGACACTGACTGGTCAGCCCAAGCTGCGTCTCGGAACCATTCCAGCGCAGCGCATGCAAGCTGGTGCTCGCGCATCCTGCCCTCGTTCCGAGAACCCGTCCCTGTGCCCGCCGCACCGACGGTTTGCACGACCTGCCGACTTGCGACAACCTGCACCTCGAAGCTCGGCCGGTGACGTGAGGTGCTGTCTGGAGCCCGCATGCCGCAGACCCGCACGCGGCGCCCCTTTGTTCATCATAACTCCTTTAGGATACTCGCGAGGTCGGGGATGCCATGGCTTTAGGCGGCTCATATGCGTCCAAACAGAACATCGTCATCGGCGCCGTCCTGTTCATGTTCGTCTGGTACCTGACCTTCAACAGCCAAGCGAACCCAGCAGGGAGTGTTGTAAGTCAGATTGTCTCGGGTGTCTCTCATCCTCGGCCCAGCCCCGACTCGCCCACCACAGGCCCACCAGCCAGACTAACCAGTCGATATTTCTAGAGCAAGACGGACACACTGCAGGTCGACTCATCACAGCATGATGGCCCCCTCGAACTTGACGGGGCCCTTGAACTCGACGGGTCCCGTCCCGAGGGACAACCAGAGCTTCCCATGCCGACCAAGCCAGTCAAGCCCATCAACCCCTACATAACAGAAGGGCAGCTCAACCCCTCCGGCCGCTCGACCAAGGGACCACTGTCTCCCCCCGCCGACGACCCATGGCGGCCCCTGATCCTATATGCCTTCTCCGACTCGCCCGTGTCGCGCGACAACCTGCGCTTCTTCCTCCACCACGGCCTGCATGCCGCAGCCGACTTCATCTTCATCCTCAACGGCATGAACAACGAGACGGCCCAGGAGCTGCTCATCCCGCAGGGCGCGTCCAACATCCGCACCGTCTACCGGCCCAACACGTGCTACGACCTGGGCGCATACGGCGAGGTGCTCAGGGGGGATAAGATCAAGCTCGGCATGAGCCCGGGTCGGCTAGAGCTGTACAAGCGGTACAAGCGGTTCCTGATGCTCAACTCGAGCGTGAGGGGCCCCTTCCTGCCGCACTGGGGCCAGGGCGCCTGCTGGAGCGACATCTTCCTGGCCAAGGTCAACATCGAGACGAAGCTGGTGGGCATGACGGCCAACTGCTGGCCGGCCTTCCACGTGCAGTCCGAGGTGTGGGCGACCGACTTCGTGGGCATGGAGCTCCTCATGCACCCGCCGCCGCCCGACGCCAACGCCACCAACGTCGACGCCTTCGCGGCGCGCGAGGAGCCCGTCGGGCTGGCCGGGTGCTACCCGGACCTCAACAAGGCGCTGCACGCCGAGCTGGGCGCCACGCGCATCATGCTCGACGCGGGCCACCGCGTCGACCTGCTCATGAGCGCCTACCACGGCATCGCCAACTACTCGGCCACCTGCGACCCGCAGCAGCACGGCGACATGCTGTGGAACGGCAAGTACTACGGCACCAACGTGCACCCGTACGAGACCGTCTTTGCAAAGACGAACCGCGACATCGACCCCGTGCTCGTCGACCGCCTGAGCGAGTGGCAGTGGGCCTCGGGCTGGCGGAGCTGGGATAGCTGTGGGGCATGGTCGACGTGGTGATGAGGTCTTCCTTTCTGACAGGTCGATCAAGGATGTAGAGACAGAGGCAGAGAGAGACTGATCTGATCCTTGGCGTGTATATATGTTGGCGGCGGGAGGCAAGAGAAGAACCTGATGTCTTTCTGCGCGGCGTTGAGGGCTGGTTTGAATTTGTAGTATGGTCGCTACTATCTTTCCTTCTCATAATCCATGGGACACTTTTATGGCTAGATTGCGGGCTTTCTCCTGGTGACAGGCAACCCTGAAGACATGTTTATTCGATGAAACACAACAAGTATGTGAAATTATTGAGATGCTGAGCAGAACTGAAGTCCACGCAGCACGAGCCCAGGTTGTCCGGTTGCAAGGCTGTGTCTATCCACGCCTCACATGCGGAAGTGTCGTCTTGCCATTGAAACGTGCCGTACCGCACAGCTTAGGTTGAGTCAAACGGCATGCAACACATTCCTTCCTCAGAATGACGGTCTAAGGAACGTTCTTCCAGATGACCGATGGTCTTTTAGTGGGTTCGCTCTTGTCAAGGTGGATTGTGTTCAAATGGGAATGAGCGTAGTGAAGACCTCCTCTGTGAAATTTATACCATTGAGCGCTGTAAACTCTAGACGGTCAATTGCTCACAAGGACCGTATGGTATACCGTCTTGACCAACCCTCGTTATGGTGGTTACAATACCGGAGTGGTCGTCGCTAACGAAGTTGCGAGCCTCGTTCGTGAATATGCAGGTGCCCCCGTTCAGCTGGACAGTCAGTGTTACGCAGGACCAGGCAAAGGCGAATTACTTCTTTGGTGGGTTTCAAACCGCCTCCCCCCTCCCAGCCTCTGACTGTCAGCCGCAATTCTTCGATGTTTTCTTTTTCCTCGATCTTCTCAACCTTTTCCTTCAGGCATATTCTTATAGTAACTTGTTGCAACCAATTGTGCTGGCTTCCAGTCAGGTCATCCTCTTTACCTAAAGGCGTCGGCCGTATAAAATCCATGTTCCAAAAAGACCGATCCACAGTAACAGCACTCGAGCTGGATGACTTACTTCAGACCAGGCAGTCCTACAGCACAGCGAGGGCAGAAGCGGAGACTCAGTCTGAACCTCTGAGCCATGATTTCACGTCTACCACGAAGCGAAGGCCGGGCCCAATATCCTGGCAGATGGTTGGGATATGCGTCGGCCTCTTCATCACGACGGTCTTAAGCGTCCTACTGCTGATCGCCAGCTGTAGCGGCTGGACTGTGCCGGACAACATATACTGGTTCAACATCGCCCACCGGGCCTCGATCCAGCTGGTGGTTCAGATTGTCTCCAACGCCCTGGCCCTTGTTTACAGCAGCGCCCTCTGCACGCTCATCAACTACGCGAGCCGGATGTACTGGGACAGGAACGGCCCGGTGCGGATGGACATGTTGCGGTTCTGGAGGGACATGTGCGCCCTGCGAATGGACTTTGACATCCCCGTATCGCTAATGGCCCTCCTCGTGGGCTTCATAGGACTCACATCGGTGCAGTCGGCGTTGTGGGCCGGCGCTCTGACGCCCGTGGCCACGACGGTAGTGCGAGAGACGAACGTCACCGTGCCGAGCTATCACAACGCCTCGCTGATCGCCGAGTACGCCTCCGAGGTCGGCGATGCCGACGCGCCCCCAGACGTGCGCGGCACAAAGGGCTTCTTCACGTACAAGGTGGGCGTGGGCCTGACGGGCGAGCTGCTCAGGGCGGCGGCATCCGCGACCCCGACAGGCGACGAGCCCAGGAAGCACCAGAAGAACGACAACACCCAATTCACATACATCGGCCGCTCGTATGGCGTCGGCTCCTCAGTTGGCCTCCTAGACGACACCACCCCCTCGGACACCCTCGCCCTGGGGCTCACGTACCAGGAGGTCGGGTACGACGCCTCCGTCAGCTGCGCGTACAACGCCAGCACGGGCTTCGTGCTCGAGAAGCTGGGCAGCGGCTACATCGACGCCTTCGCGGCCAGGGGCGTGCTCCCCAACAGCGCGCCGGGCGACCCTGAGTACTCGACCTACGTCGGCTGGGGCGCGAGGTCGGTCGTGGCCATCGGCGTGGGCCGCGACGCGAACTCGGCGAGGCACACGCTGGGCATCGCGGCCGGCGAGGCCTACGCGCACCTCAACGCGGCGCAGTGCGACATCTCCTTCGCCCCGGCGCTGTTCGACGTCACCGTCAGCCTCACGGGCCGCAACATCACCGTCACCCGGGCTGGCAGTACCAACAACAACAGCAGCGACGCAGCGGCAGCGCAGCCGGCCCTGGACTGGGACACGGGCAGCCTGAGGTACGTGCTGACGCGGCAGTTCGAGCTCATCGCCAACGCGCAGACGAACCTGTACGTCTCGCTCGTGGGCAGCTCGTTCAACGCCAGCATCGCCGACTACGTGACCGCGTCCGGGGGCGCGGGCCTGGAGGAGGCGACGCCGCCGGGGCTGGCCAGCGCCGTGGCGGTCATGACGGACGACATGTTGGTGGCGTACGCGCAGGCGCAGCTCATGATCGGGGGCTTTGCGGCGGGCGCGCCGGCTGTCGTCCGGAGGCAGGCCATGCGCGTGGGCGAGGACGCGTATGTCTACGCTGTGTTTGTCCTTAATGTCGTTGTTATCTTGGCGGTGCTTGTCGAGTGCTTGCGGACCAGGGGGTGGAGGGGCCTGGTGTTGTTTGACTACATGGATGTGGAGTGGTTGGCCGTTGGTGGGTTTAGAGGTGGAGTGATTGCGGCCAATGGTGTCGACGGTGAGGTTGATGTGATAGATGGGATGAATCCTGAGGAGTGGAGTAGGTTGGACGTGTCCCTAGAGGGCGCAGCAGGCGACTCTTTCATTCGGGTTACGAAAAGGGATAAAGCTCAAGAATAGGATAACACGTGCCTTTAATAGCAAAGTTAAAGCTTTGGGCTCATATGGGTGACGTTTGGTATGCATTCATTGGATTTGGCATGGGATAAAAGCTCGACGGTCAAAGATATGTGATAGTGAGCCATTAATGAGTGAACTATTACTGAGGCAATATATACAGAGAATCTGTGCTATGCGAGAAGGGACGTCCTACGCATGTCAGCCGTTCACTGAGCCTTCTGGGCCGGGATGCTGATGGCAGTAAAGTTCCAGGTCTTGCCGCCATCAGGGGACGACATGGCTCCACCAGTAGCACCATGCGCCCAACTTCCGGTGTGCTTGAAGCTCTGGTCAGCCTCGCTGAGCACGACAGAGACGTCCTGCCAGCCTGTTTCATCATGTTAGTTGGTTTCTCGTCGTGCCATCAGGGATTGTCATGGCAACGTACTGTGGGCTGGGTGCTCGGCGCATGAGCCGGAGGCGCACTCGATTGAAATGTAGAAAATGTCTCCATGTTGGCCCTTGCCTGCACACAAGTGGTTAGGTTTAAATTTGGCTCCGTGGTGGAATCGTTCTCCGATGGACGTACTGGTTGAGACGGTGGAGAGGAGTTTGCCATCGATGTAGACGTTTTGGTCCCAGAGTTGGGTCGATGAGTTAAGCTTATCTGCAGAAGCTTTTCAGTCCAAGTATTACTGGGAAGGGTTCTAAGCATGGCTCACAGGTCGTCTTAACTGTAGATCCGGGAGAAGCAGTCACAGCCTTGCCCACGGTGGGGTTCGAGCCTGCCATCAGGGAAACAAATCAGCGATAGTTCAACTAGTAATTTTATAACAGTACCGAGGCCACTACTAACCGACCAAAGTGTATGCAAAGTTGCACCAGTTCTTGCCCTGGTCGTTGCAATAAGATCTGTGCAAAGCGTATTAGACATGGATTTTGGCGTGGATTTTGGGTGATTCGGGGTGCTCTACCCTGACGGGGAATTCGAGGTGACTCCCTGGAGGAATGACGCCTGATTCTCCATCATGATTGCACTCCAGATGGCAACATCTCCAGACACAGAGCTCGGGACTTTAGGGAGCACGAGGGTCGCGCTGGCTTCCTGGATATAGGCGCTGCCACTGGTGTAGAGACTGACGATGTCTGAGTTGGCTTGGGCAAGACCAGCGAGCGCGGCAAGGACGCCGCCAACGGTTGCTTGGCCTCCTTTCATGATGTACATTTTGAATAGTAGTATCAGTTTTGCAAAGTGTTTCCTAGTATGGTGCAATACTATTGAGAAGAGCAAGTGGGAAAGCTGAAGAGGATCAGTTAAATGAATTCAGACTACTGCGCATACCTTGGCAAGTACTAGATACAGGGTTGGACCAAGCTCGTGTTGAACGGGCCACAGACGTTTATTCGAAACCGCTCTTATTGGTAAAGGGGCGGGCGTGTAGCCTCCTCCACCCGGAACCTGCGACTCCGCAATACATGGCCTATAATTTCCCCGTTATGTAATTGCCGTATTCCTATACGTTAATACTCCCCTTTGAGCTATAGTTTAGAATGACAATTCCGATTGAGGAACTCATTACTGAGTACTATTATTGAAAGAGTGCGCATGTTTTCGTCTAAGTGCAGAGCACCCGGCGAAAATCACCCGCATGTCAAGCTTTTGGAAACTTTCGCCTGTCGCTCCCTCCAAATTACTTCCTGATTCCTGGACAATAGCGCCGACCTAATAAAGGCTCAATAGTCCATAAAGCCGACCTAATTCGAATTAACAGATTGAAGTCAGCTTCTTATATTTCTGAGGTTTGCTCACAAGACAGAAGGAGAAATGGAATATGTAATTAAGGGTGTTATAGTCAAAGTCATAACATCTAAAATGCCGCTTTGAACTAGATATCCTTTCCGTCAGTATGAATTATGGATTCTTTCTGTTAAGAGGAGTGGGTTGTGCACAAGGGCTTCTGCGGTAAGTCCCTATGTTGCTTCCGGAGGTCCTTTGGTGTACTGCTAATGCTGGTGGTCATTAGAATTATGTAAAGATCGAAAAGTTGTTATAAGCATGGTACACCTAGAAACAGTACTTGCACAGCTATCTATCAACACGGGTTAATGATGGCTAGGCCACGGTGCAGAGAGGCAGTCATCTTTTTCGAAAAGGTAGCACACAGCCACAATCAGGCCCATCCAGAGTTTCGTAGTAGATTGTGTTTTGAACCTCTATAGGCATAAGGAGCAACGGGAATACGATCTCTTGGCCCCCGTTGGAGGACATGGGGGTAGCGTCATTGTGGAAATTTCCATTCTTCTGTCGTCTTCAAACGGGTGGCTGTTCGAACTTCCAACAGCGAGTTTGAGGCCTGTTTGTGATCGGTATATTCTTGCTGACGACGCACTGAGGAGGCGGACTTGCTGCTGATGCATGAAAGTAACGAGAGGCCAAGAGGGTAAAAATGAGGAGTTTCGTACCAAAAAGTGGCATAGCCTTTAACCCTGGAAATCATTTTGTGGTTGAGCTTTCGCTACCGTGTCCGTGGCCACTACCTAGGTGCTTAAATCGCAACCACCTCGCAAGAAGGTACAGGCGAAAATCACAAATTGCAGTCCAGTTTGTTTGAAGATTCCGATGACGGGCAAATTCGCACAGCAACAAGATGGTCGTGATGAGAAGGGGTGTACTAGGGGCTTGCAACTGCTGTGAGTGCATCAAGTATGGGACAAGAATAGTTCCAAAACGGGCAGCAGGCCGGAGATACGGCAACGCTGGTGATTACAAAGTGACATTGAGGAAGTTGATGCTATAGGACTTCGCCAAGGGACTTGACTGTGGCATAACGCTGCCTGCATTTCAAAACCATGATGACACCATGCCATATCTTAGTAAACGGTTGTCGCACAGCGTAATCCCACAGAACCCCACCTCCGAAAGCCGTTGCAGGATACTGAACATCAGAGACTCCCTGCATAAAATGTCCACACAAGTGCCTCCAGCACTTCTCACCCCTTCCACGTCCCCTGTGGCAGCCTGACGAGAAAGTACAGGATCACATAGTCCCGGTCCATTAGACATCAAGACCTTCTCTGTTGAGTCTCGACAACTCGTAGACCAGGTCCAGATCCTTGTGTCTCCAGGCATCGATGTATACCGACTTTGCTGACGCAATGAAGGTCCGCGCCAGAAGCCAGGTGGCTTCAGATAGCGAAAGCGGCGGCTGACACCCCTTGCTGTACACGTGGTCGCCCGCCTCAAGAAACGGAAGAAGCTTAACTGGCATATCCACTAGATTACTGTTAAAGACCATCCTGGCTGAAACGTAGTTTGTCCAGTCCGCCCCAGGCTCGCCGACTCTGTACGACGCAGGAATGGGGCGGTGGGATCCGTCGGTGAGCTCCAGGACATGGTCATACTTCTGAGGGCGATGGTGGTAGTCGATGTGGATTATGATGTGTCGAATGTGTGCCTTGATGCTCGTGGGCACGTCTCTCACGAAGGGTCGTACTACCGACGGGATGCGAAAGAGACTATACGGACCATCCGGCCCGTGGATGGTCACGAAGAACTGGTTCACGCCGTAGTAGATTGGCAGGGCCTCGCTTCTAATCTGCTTGTTTGTGCGAAGAAGATCTGGCTGGGGTTCAAGGAGGAGCTGGACGACGAGGTCCTCGTGCAAGGTCTCCGAATAGATCCGGTTTCGTATTTCGGCCGGGAGACGGAGAAGTGGGAAATCGGTCTAATCATAGATTTTATCAGCTAAACCATTCAAAGACACCGCTTGCTCGTGAATTTTCAACCTTTTCTTGACCCAGTTGGGTTATGGCGACAGCTTGAGTGTCTTGCGCCATTTCGACAACTCCAATTTGGTCCGCGAATGGCGGATTGTTGAGTCGCATGCTAGACCTGGGCAGCAGTGGCGGTGCCCAGGAGTTGCAGTCCCATATTTAAATAATAGAATGTAGTGGAGGTGAGTGACAGGCTCGCTAACTAGGTAGTTGTTCTGATTTCAAGGTAGCAAGGTCACCATTGCAACAATGAGATCAAAAATTATCTAGGCAGCCACACCACATTAAAATCGGCTCAAGTAATACAAAGGTACGGAATGACGTCTCGAATGAAAGTCCACGTTTCCTTCGGAAGGATGCGAGCCTTGGACTTTGTGTCCTTCTCAATGTGTTTGACAGCCCTCTGGGCCAAATCTTAGGTACTTGTCTCAAGTGCATCACAAAGAAGCGGGTTATACAATTAAGGATCTTCTTGCAAGGAACCGCAAGGTTGCTCTTTGCCTTGGGTTTTGTATATCGATAAGGACTTTTCAATCGCTTCATCAATGGTCTGTCCCCAACAACTTCGACCTTTGCCCGTGTACTGCCCTCGAGCTTACTTCTAGAAACGGTGCGCCCATCGGTGATTGACACTCTACTTATTCTAATTCCCATAGAAGTTTGGTCACACCCAGAACAGTACCACATAGGAGATTATCTCGCTGAAGGTTATCCCACAGAGAGTAATCCTACGGAAACTTTCCGTTCGCCTCTTTCGGTTAACATTTAATCCTGACTTAAACACATGGAATAGTTACACAGCTCCATCTCGAAAAGAGTAGCGCAAGCATAACCCAGCCTTGAATAATCCCTCCGTAAATGGAAAGGTGCAGATCCCGTATTACTGCGTGTAAGTCGATTGGAGGCAGTAGAAAGACGCTGACAAGCATCTCAAAACGGTGTTGTAGCACCTACTATACAACAAATTCGAGCTGGCGAGCGCTTCACACAAATTGACATATATATAGCTGGCATTTTCAAGTATGGGAATGGGGATATGTATATAAAAGATGATAGCAGCTCATGATCACCTGCCAAGCATCAGCACCACTCAAATCAGGCGGCGTGCTCGTGCCATCGGGCATCCGGTTGTAGTCAAAGGCCCCGGCCTGTGGAGCATAATCATCCTGGTAATTATGCGTGCCGCGGGGCGGCGTGCGCCCCGTGGCGGTAGCCGTCCGGACCGCGGCCAGGTTGGGAAACAGGTAGGCCAGGTTTGCCTCGGAGAAGGGCAACGCTGCCGGCGGCGGCGCGGCTGCTGCGGAACCAGACGCCGAACCGGCTCAGCAGCGCGGCCAGCTGCGTGGGGCGGGCGCGCACGCCCGGGGCTGCGTTGAGGGCGTTGATGTTCTCGGCGTTGTCGTAGCCGATGAACCACCGCGCCTGCACGCCGCTGCAGCCGTTGCGCATGCCGCAGCTGAGGGCCTGCGCGCGGTCGTTGAAGCCGGCCGCGTCGCCCGTGTTCATGGACCCGGAGGCGTAGTCGGGCGAGTAGCGGTGCTCGGCGCGGTGGTCTGGGGTGGCGCCGCGGGTCACGGCCGAGGGGCGCACGCAGCCCTGGCTGTGGTACATGGTGACGGTGGTGACGCCCGGGTACCAGCCCTGGGTGTTTCCGCGGAAGGTGTACTGGTCTATGGGGATGTGCAGGTGCATCACCACCCAGCGGTCGGGAGGAGTCGATGTAAAGTGGGAGTTGTCGCCGTACGTGTAGCGAGGGCTGTTGTTTCCCGTGCCGCCCGGCGCCACTCCTACTGTGCTGCCGATCCAATATGCCATTTCGAGGATGACCTGGTCACCTTCCGGGGCGAGCCAGCGCAGATAATGCAGGGTCACCGTTCATGATGCCCGTCAAGACCGCCGCAATGGATGGCAATACGCCGTCGGCGCTGCGGGCCGCCATGGTCAGTGGCTCGAGGTTCCGGACAGAGAGCGCCGTGTCCTCGCGCTTCCATTCACTGCTTGTGTCGCCGTCGTCATCTTCGTCCTCGGCGCCCTCGCCGTAGTCTACACAAAGACCCTCAGTCGCCGTCTGCATGTTCAGAAGGGCGTCGGAGGAATCGGCAATGTTGCAAAGCACGTCGGCGATGAGCGTGTCCGGCGAGTAGGTCGGGTAGCCAGACCAGCTGTCACCATATAGCGTGTCGGTAAGGACAGAGGCATTCGCGCCGTCGGAGCCCAGCCCGGCCTCTTCGATGCGCGTGTTCCAGATCTCGGTCAAGTCCTCGCGGGGGTAGCGGGACGTGATCCATGTCGAGATCAGGGGCAGCAAAAACGTCAGCGTGATGCTTTCGTCTGTGGCCCGGTGGGTCAGTAAGCTCAACGGGTTGGCCGGGCGGCGTTGGATCGTTGTGATCGTGTCGTTCCTCGTCTGGGTGTTTGAGGCAGCACCAGGGTCTTGTTCGGCAAGGTCCCGCACCACCAGCGAAATATCAGCGTCATATTCGGCCTCCCACTGGGCCGGGCACACGGGCGACTTAAAATAATTCTGCAGATAGGCGTCAAACTCCTCAGCTGTCTCATCGGCGTAGACAATCGTGCCGCTGGTGGAGCGTGGGCTGGTGGATGAAGAAGTCTTGGCCCCGGAGCAGCAGTACGCCTCGTTGCCATACAAACAGCCGTCGGTATGCGCGGTCTTGTCTGCACCCCACATTGTGGAAATGGACTGCTCAGCGATACGGATGGAGCTTGACGGGCACGCATCGCTGCAGTACGCCTCGTTGGTGAAGGCAACCTCGAACCCGTCCCATGCGCAGTTGGTGAAGGCATCAGGGACAGCGTCTCCGGAGCAGCAATAATTCTTGTGTTTGGCGCCGTTCGAGCAAGACGGCCGGCCGCCCCAGCCGTCTCGGGACTGGGCGACGTAGTTGGGATAGTCGGATGGGCAGGTCTCGTCATCGTAGCAGCTGTCGGTCCACTGACACTTGGACCACGGCGTCGTCGACTCCGTAATGGTGCAACAGGCCGACTGGTAGCCCGACGAGCAGCTAGCCGAGATGGTGCCCAGCTCGGCCTCATCATCATTGCATCCGCCCTTACACTTGCCGTTGTTGTGGAATCCGCGCCATCGGCACGGCACGTAGGCACCTCAGACGACGTGGGGCAGCACAGGGTCTGCGTCTGGCTCTTGCCCGGAGGACACTCGGTCGAGTCGAGCATGAGCTGCGACTTCTTGTCGTCACGCACGATGCTGGTGAAACCAGTGCCGCATGTTTCGCCACAGTTGCTCCAGCGGCAGTATTGGTTCTGCGTCTCGAGCGTCGTGTCCTTGCTGCTTGTCGCGGCCACGGACAGCGTCAGGCCCGTGTCCGTGCCCACGTTGAGCTCGTTGCCCAGCGCCGCTGCCAGGCCCTCCGAGTACGTGCTGTTGCCGTCGTCGTAGTCCACCGACCACCAGCACGCCGCCGAGACACTGCGACTTGGCAAAGTCGGCCTTGATCTTGAATGTCTCCTGGTCATCAAACGACACCCACTGGTCGCCACCCCATGTGACGATCTTAACCGCTGCGTCGTCATATAGTGTCGGTGTCAGGTCGTTGTTGCTAATGATGGACTTGATCTCACTGCTGAGCAAGATCCCAGCCTCGCCACTACATGACCCTGCATCGCCCGCCGACAAATAAGCACAACCGGGCTCCGAGCAGGATGCACTGGCCAGGGTGAAGCTGCGCCCGTGAAATGCGAGGCCCAGCCTCCAATGGAGAGCCACAGCTCCTGGCCCAAGTCGCGGGTCTGGAGCGGCCGAAGGGCCGGATAGAGCGCCTCGTCAGCATCGGTTGCCGGTCCAACCTTGAACGTGTCCGGGTCGATGCTCCCAAAGGCAAAGTTGATATGAGAATAGACGCCCTGGGGAAACGACTGTGGTATCATGCCATCGCATGTGCGCGAGGCACCCCCCAGAGCCCCAGTAGCCAATCACCCGCGTAATGGACTGCGAGTCGACATCACACGAGGGCCTCGTGACGGTGTCATCGCCGCAAAACTGCTCAGTGGTGCCGCAGAAGCCATACTTGCTGCAGCAGACATTCAGGGGACACGATGACGCGTTGAAATACACCTCGTCTCAGTCGCCTGGGATACACTCGGCCTTGTAGGTGCAGCTGTTGATGTATTTCTCGTCGCTGCAATAGTCGGGGCCTGTGCCACAGACATTGTTCAGGCCACAGCAGCCAACCTCGCAGGCGGTGGTGGCATCACAGTAAGTATCTGCCACAGACAATGGCAGTGTGGCTAAGCCAGCCAGCAAGCCAACGGCAGTAACCGCACGCATCCTCTTTCCTGCGCGTGGCGTTGATTAGTTGGGGACCCGGAAACGAATCGGAGGACTACTTTGAAGCCTCACTAATGGATGGAACGTCGCTCTCACGAACTGAAGTCGCTCCCTCCTGTGTCGATTCGATGTGGTGTCCCAAATCTGAAGTATCAAAGAGCGACTCGCAAAAACAAACAGAATCAAAAAGAGAGTATATGGGGGCAATAATTTGCCCTAGAAAGAGAGACGAGAGACACTGCTCAAAAGGGTGGACTGGAGATACTCGGTTTCGCCTTCCAGCCTCCTGGTGCACATGGCGACGTATTTATCTTCTTGGATTCCATGTGAGGAAGAGTCCTCTCAAGCATGCCAGAGGGTATGGCAGATGCTGCCACACGTGGAAACACTGGTTAAATGCATGAGAAATGGTGATATGATGTGAAGAGCCTCACTTGCATCAAAGGAGGAATGTCGTAGATCCTTGAACTTTCACTCGACCTACTTAACTGGGGAAAAGCTAAGAAGGAAGCTCATGTGGATGCATCCACTATGCATTTTAAATGCAGGTCCAATTTCACAGGCGAGGCTGAAGGATCTAGTTTGTATGGAGCACTTGAATACATATCGGAACACAGAAGCCGGAGGCAGCAATGGAGCACGATACACAGGCCAACGCAAATAGTTGATTGATGTTGTTGGAGAGGAGAGGTAGAACTTCCCAACTTGGGCAACCCCAGTCAAAATACCTATCTATGTACTCACATAATTTTAAAAACTTCTCGGGGGCCTCTCAGTTTCGCTCTTTGCCTGGCCACAGATGCATGGGCTGGGCACATCAGTTGACTGACATCAGTGTGAGACAATTCTTGATCAAAAGGCTATCAACAATGAATGCTTCAACATGATTCAAATTTTCTGTGGCTTGACATGGCCACAAAGACTCTCATGGAGAGATGGAATGTCACAAGGGACCTGCATAGTAGGTACAGACACATACAGTACGTACCTACTTACCTAGGCAGGTACCCGGAGTCAAGCATTGTAGCGAGTGCTTGTCAAAGTTTATTTCCACTATACTTACATACCTTGTACTCAAGCATAAAAACTGGGTAGCATTTCAATCGATCTCTGAGGTCTGGCCGAGGCCGTGCTGTAAAGTATCCACGGCCGCGCGGCCTTTTTCTTGGTGTACAAATACGCGCCGTGGTATATGATCCTGAAGTCAGCAATGAGCCTCAAATTCATCAAAAATGACAGTCTCGATCACTTCTAAGGTTGTCTAGACATATCGTGGATTTTTCCTTCGAATCCTTCAGTCGGATAGCCGCGCAATCATCGTGCCATTCATGAAGAATGGCGTTGTTGATACACGATTTTGGAGGCGCGGCCCAGAGGACAGTCGGGTCTTCGACCCGCAGTTTTTGCTGACGACCCACGCAAACTGGAGCAGTGCGGCGAAAGATCCCACCAGAGTCCAGGTCTCATTACCGGGGATGAGAAATATCTGATCCGGAAAGCCTGCAGATGAAAGATATCGTTATACAGGGAAGCCAGGGGGATTGGACAAACCGAATGCGCATGGGGGCGATGTGAGCTTGTAAGTAGGGTACCTAGGTACCTACGTCGTGATATATATCTGCGTCTCGCAGTAATCATATCGTGATTCAGACATATAGACACGGATTTGGTATTTTGCGATGCCCTGCCATGAGACTACCTCCTGAGAGTTTGCCGTACTCTCATTCTCGTCATTCTTTTGCATCCCTCAGCTGAAGTCCATTGTGACTGTCTTCAGTGTCCACGGGCGCTCGCCGCCTCCCTTCGCTCTTTTGGCTTCCATTTTACTGCCCTATCCTGCTAACGGCCATGTAATCACCAGCCGTAGTAGCGGCAGCTTCGTCGGGTTCTCCATGTTTCCAAACGGGACACTGTCCAGTCTGGGCCTGGATCTGGACTCGGCATGCGAGAGTGCCCTATACCAGACCGTCGACTGCGACGACGCGACCTCGACCTTGATGACCGACGGGTACATCGGTAGTTTCGACAACGCCACGCTGACAGCATCCGTCTGCGCAGCGGGTTGTGGGAGCTCGCTCGCGCAACTGCACGCGGATGTGGCCACGAGCTGTGGCGAAGCAGCCAAGCTCATCGACGGCCTCCCGTTTCTGAGCCTCGTCGATATGCTCTGGAGCAACTGGAACCAATCGTGCTTCTACGACCCTGCCACGGGAGAGAATTGCAACGATGTCATTGCTGCGTTCTCCAACGTCACCGACGTGACCCTCCTGCCTACCGAGGATCTCTGTTCCTCCTGCTACCTGCAAAAGTTCGCCCTGCTACAAGCGGATGCCTTCTCGGGCGTCTACGAAGAAAACTGGCAATCCACCTACGAAACGGTCGCCGCTGCGTGCAATGTCACAGTGGCCGACTTCAACATCACCGACAGCGCCTTCAACGTGACCGTACCCACCACCGAAACCAACTGCGTGTCCGGCAACACGTACACAGCCCAAGCCGGAGACACATGCGACGCCATCGCCCTGGCCCACAGCGTCTCGGCCGCGTCCCTGTACCACATCAACTCCAACATCCACAACTGCTCCGCCGTGGCGGCCGGGACCACGCTGTGCCTGCCGCTCGCCTGCGCGACGACATACACGGTGCAGGCCGACGACACATGCACCGGCATCGCCGTCGACGCGGGCCTGTACACGTCCGACGTGCGCGCCTTCAACACGCTGCTGGACTGGAACTGCACGAACCTGCACGCGACCAACCCCTACTGGGGCGCCACGCTATGCGTGTCGACGCCGGGCGGCACGTACAACAGCAGCGGCGCGACGGCGGCGACGGGGGCAGGGGATGATTCCGCCGCCGCTGCCGTCGTAGATCCGCCTGCTGGTGCCACGGTGGCGATGGGCACCACGACGCGTCGACGGACTGCGCGGCGTGGTACGTCCACGACGGCACCCTGACGTGCACGCAGATCTGCCTCAACTACGGCGTCGCCATCAACCTGTTCACGGCGGCCAACCCGGCGTTGAACAAGACGACGTGCGACGACGACCTGGTGCTGGGCGATGCCTACTGCTTGGACCCCATCACCGGCTGGGACTGGACGGGCACGGCGTCGGCCTCTGCGAACGCCACAGCGACAGTCAGCGGGGCCGTGCCGACCCCGACGGAGCCGGGCGCCATTGATAGCTGCACCGTGTGGCATTGTACCGTCAGCGGGGATACGTGCTATGATATCGCGCAGACCGCGGGCATCGCGCTGGATGATTTTTATGCTTGGAATACGGAGGTTGGTGATGATTGCAGCGACTTGTGGCTTAACTACTATGTCTGCGTCGGAGTGTGAGACTGGGGACGTGGATGCTGTCGAGGAAGTTTTGCTGTTGGTAAAGCGTTCATCTCGGTCGAGGTCTGCTTAATATCATAATTGTTTCTCGATATTGCATTGCGGCCGTACCCACCCGCGGTATCAACATACCCACTTATGCAGTGTAACCAAGCCGCTATCGGACTATCGGGGCCTCTGCCTGTAAGCCAGTTTGACCGTTTACATAAACCCTCCGCCCTGCTATCAACCGATGTCCTTGTGAGGCTACCGGTTAGTAGACAGCAAAGTCAACTGACTTCCTCCTACACATGGCATCACCATCCACTTCCACCCCATCAGCGGCGCTATATTACGAATTTCAGAGGCGAGGGCCGCAAATCCTTCCGAATTGGGCTTCCGACGGCGAGGGTGCACTGCATGGCCACGACGGCGCAGTTCTATACGAAACAGAATATTCCAGCCTGCCTCGCTCCATCATCAAGCGCAACGATGTCATCCTCTTGAGAAGGTAACTGGCAATACACCCGTCGTCGCTTGGGCCTGCCGAGATACCGCTGGAGGATCCCTTCTGGACCGCCGCCGCCCGTGGAAGCACCGATGCCCTCGATGCGATGCTGCAGCATTGGGCTGCCAACCCCGATGCAGTCCTGGCCCCTGATGCACGAGGCTTCAGGCTTCTTCATGTCGCCTGCGCACATGCTCAGCTGCCTACGGTGCGTTTCATAATTGACGACCGCCCTCCCTGGGCGAGTCGGTTCGGAGACGCGACCGCCATCGCTGTAGAGCGTGATGCTCATGGCCAAACAGCCATTCTCTCGGCTGCATCATGGTATCGTCATGGCCAACAGCTCGAGAACAATGACTCGGAGGAGGTGATGCGTCTGCTTCTCTCCAAGGGCGCGTGTGCTACCGATACTACCGTCTTCCCCCCTGGCAACACCGAGCCGCTGCAGCCGCTCACTATGGTCGCCAGCCTCCCTACGGAAGACCAACCGTTAGACACAGTCCTGAGTCTTGCAGTCTCGGGTGCCAGTGATGACATGATCAGACGCCTGGTTGATGGGGGGTGCTGATGTCCACGCCAAAACCATCTATGTCGATACCAATGGTCTCTTCGGAGGGAAGTGCGATGTTGCGTGAGACGTCACACCACTCCACATTGCAAGCATGTTCGCCAACGCTAACGGAATCCAGGCAATGCGTGACCGCCGAGCGGATGGAGTCGAATGGAGAGACATGGTATCGTACAGCGACAGTCACGGCCGCATGCCCCTCCACTGGGCGGCCGGTGGCCTCGAGGCCAAGGTCACTCCAGACGACATCCTGCGCACCATGGGGCTCCTTCTGGGCGACAACGCCGCCGAGACGGTCAGTGCCCCCGACGCGCAGGGCGACACACCACTGCACTATGCCGTGCGCAGCAGCGTCGGCGGCGCGCCCGAGATAAGCTACCAGGTGGCCAGGTTCCTCTGTGGGAAGGGCGCACGCGCGGGCACTCGCGGCACAAAGCGCCAGACCCCGCTGCACTGCTTGGTCTCCGCGCACGCGGAGCGGCCTAGCAGCAGCATGATGGCCTTGTGCAAGCTTCTCCTCGCGCACAGCGCCGACGTCGGGGATGCGGACGCCGACGGCAACACGGTGCTGCACCTTGCGGCGCGGTCGGCGCAGCACCTCGAGACGGTGCGCTTCTTTCTCGACGAGGCAGGCACCGGGGACGAAAAAGGAGCCCAGGATCTCCTTATCCGTGCTGTCAATGCACAGGGGGACGCGCCACTGCATATGGCGGCGGCACAGAACCACTTCGCACGAGACCAGTCTGTCGAAGAGCGCATCCGATCGCAAGACGAGATGATGAGGGCGCTCACGCCAGAAAGTCGAGCACACGGAGAAGATGATAGCGAACAGTCCTTGCTAGATCAAGCTAATCAAGCCGGGAAAACACCGAGACAGATATGTGAGGAGAGTAGGAGCATGTGGCGGCAACAGCAACAGGATGCGCAACGAGCAGCGACCGCCGGCGCGGGACGGGGACGCGGACGGGGACGTAATCTGGTTGCGCCTTTGTTACCTGATTCACCGTGGTAGAATTCATATAAGCAGACTACTAAACCGTCTGAGCAAAACGACCCATTTGTCCTCGTCTTGATTCTAGCAGCTCACTCATGTCACTGCCACTACTCCATCACGCCGGGATTCTACGGCTCTCTGACGGCAATCATACCCCACTACCATTGCCTTTGCTAGACTTCGGCCATGGCTCTGTCGATGCTGCCGTCTCATTTACAAATATATACTTCTTAATGCGGTTGCTCCTTTGGTCAGATTCCCCAAATACTCGCCAGTTGCCCCCTTGTGAGGTTTCTTTGCTAGGGGAAGTGCCGTTGTGTCTCTCTACAGAGATGGGCGGACTTGATGGAGGATTTTCTCTCTTGTGTCTAGCCCTTATATGTATGGAACAGGAGGAGGCTTGCACGTCTATGAAAGCCGACTGGTATGAGACACCTCGAACGGTGGGTGCCCGGTCTTTCTACAGCGCTTTCCGCACAGGAAAAAAAATTCGCCCATCACCTTCCTCTGCTGTGCATGTCCTGGCCACTTCTGGGCCTGCATATGCAGCGTCAGACGGGATCGGCGACCGGTCAGATTCTCGCCCATCCTGACCCAGACAGGCTGATAGGGAGCCAACACACAAGCCTTGTAAGTGCTGTAAAGCAACAGAGCAGATTCCATGACACCTTGGTTCGTCACATGCTTGTGTTGGATGCCGATCTTGGCGTGGCAGAAACAAGGTACTTCTCCGCCCATGCATACGGTCTTGCAGTCACTGGACGTTTGGTCACGCAGGATTTGCCGGAGGGGCTAGGTTGGGTTTTGATTTGTGGAAGTGATCACCGTTCATTGCAGCCAACACCCCTCCGGTACCTTTACATCACGCAAGCTCTTTGATGGCCGCGTAAATTACGTACACCGCTCTCATAGCCATATGCACTGGCGTACTACATTGATACCAGTTGGTGCTTGGTTCCTCTCAACTGCCCTTTCCTGTGCATCATCAATTGAACTTCACACGGGGTGCACTGTCTAGTATATTTATTGCTTAGTGGTCGGCAGGCTTGCTTCACCCCTGGTTTGCATCTGGACGGAAGAATCATGTTCCACCAAGCGCTGACCGGGACCCAGGCCCAAATGGTCACTTGCACCTCTGTCATCGCTCTCCTCGGAGCAGCATGAATCGCAGTGTCTCAACCATTTTGACCCCAATCGCGGTCTTGTCGCTGTTATCCAGGCGACCAGTGCTGGCCGTCTGCCACCGACTGGGATTCATTCAACCAAACCCTGGGCGGAAAGCTTATACGGACGGTGCCCATTGCCAGCCCCTGCCATGACACCTTTCCTGGAGTCAGCTACGATGCTCTTACTTGCGCCGACATTCAGGCGAACTGGGTGCGCCCGACCCTTCACGATGTGACCAGCCACTCGCCAATGGCGCCAATCTTCGCCAACGAGAGCTGTGACCCCTTCACGGGCCGTGAAGCCCAGTGCATCATAGGATCGTATGTGCAGTATATCGTCAATGCAACTGGCGCCTCTGATTACATCGCGACGCTGGATTTCGCAAGAAAGCGGAACATACGCCTGATTATTCGGAATACGGGACATGATTATCTAGGTAAATCGACCGGGGCAGGTGCCATAGCTCTGTGGACTCACCACCTGAAAGACATCGCTGTGCTTGACTATAGCTCCACTGCATACACAGGGAAGGCCGTGAAAATGGGTGCAGGTGTACAGGCGGCTGAGGCCCAGGCTGTAGCCAACGCAGCGGGTCTCGTCGTGGTCGAAGGAGACTGCCCAACCGTGGGTCTCGCTGGCGGCTACACCCAAGGAGGCGGGACCGGCCCGCTCGGATCCAAATTCGGACTTGCGGCCGATCAAGTACTGGAGTGGGAGGTAGTCACTCCTACTGGCAAGACCCTTACGGCCACACCGGATCAGAACTCGGACCTGTATTGGGCTCTGAGCGGCGGAGGCGGCGGCACGTACGGCATCGTGCTCTCGATGACGGTGAAATTGCATCAGGATATGCCAACCGGCGGCGCCACGCTTTCCTTCACAGAGTCATCAGACAAGTTCTGAGATGCCGTTCAAATGTTCATGATGAATCTTCCTGCGGTCGTGGACGCCGGCGCTACCGTGTACTGGTGGGTCGTCCCGGGTAACAAGTTCGCGATGCCGCAGTCATACCTGCCGAATGGGACGGCACAGGATCTGGAACGGTTATTGAAGCCCACACTAAATGCCCTCGACCAGAGCGGTATCACTTAAGGTAATCGGCCTGTCCTTTCTCCTGTTCTCGGAGCTGAGTGGGACGGACGGTGGCACTGACACCGGACAATGCAGCTTTCTCTTCGAAGAACTACCCTACTTACCAAGACGCATTTTATACAATGAATCCGGAGATGAACATCACCGAAATGAATGTCGGCGGCCGTCTCATCCCGCGTTCCCTCGTCTCATCCAACAGTTCGGCTGCCCGTCTAAGTAAGGCTATCGACTACATTCTCCGCAACAACGGCATACTCGCAGGCGTTTCTGAGAATGTTGGCACATCGCCGACATCCCGCAATTCGGTCCATCCATATTGGCGCGAATCGGTGTTCCTGGCATTCTTTGGCATGTATGTTTTCCCCACCCCATTTGTGGATTCATCCTCTATCTCTACCCAGATCATGCCCTCTGAAGCCTCTGGTCAAACCACCTTTGATAATTGGCGGTGTGAGCCCGTGGGTCGTGTAGAACCAAAATGGTCTCAGAAACTACTGAAAACTTCCATCGTTAATTAATCTCTCTTTTCTTCTAGTATGTACGATGAGTACAACCTCACAGCAAATTATGTAGCCCGACAAACCGTGACCAACGTTTTGGTGCCGGCTTTGGCAGAGTTGGCACCGGACGGAGCTGCCTACCTCAACGAGGCTGATTACAACGAGCCGAACTGGCAGGAAACATTCTACGGCTCCAACTACCCACGCCTTTTGTCGATCAAGCGGAAATATGACCCATATGGTATCCTGTGGGGTAAGACAGCTGTGGGAAGTGAGGGATGGGATATTGCGGCTGATGGTCGTCTATGTAAACTATAATGGGCTTTGGCTCTTTAGCAGATATTCAACATTTACTCGGACAAGATGTTGCTATCGTTCTCCGAGTCCAACGACAAAGCTTTGTAAAACACCCCTAGTTTCACCGAAGACATAACACCGTTTTCTTTGGTCAAGTGATGCCATTGGAGATTGCTTCTTCAAATACGTCATGTGTGTAGATTCGTATGTAAACTAAAGTAGTCATATTTTCGGTAACTTTTGGCACTTTCGGATGTGTATTGTTTGTGACTTCGGAACTCATAGATCTAGAGATCCCAATCGCTTGTACATGAAGCTCGTAAACCTATCCAGACTCTTGACCCGACATGCCGCAGAGAGGATATGTTTGCATAACCAAGCTCAACAAAGTGAATGGAGCTTCACACTGACTCAGCCTCGTTAAAGCCGTCCTTGACACGTTCTGGGGCTGGCAAGCCGACTCCGTCATTAACTCCCTGACGCTTCGGTTTGAGAGCTGCTTGACCACTACTAAGAAGATCCTGTCGGACTTGCTTGAAGCGCGGGGTGTATTTGAGGTTCGGGTGACGTGAAGGTGCTGGTAAAGGCGCTATTGTGTTGATATCCGTACTACAGTACCGTCAGGGAGATTTCTAGAATCCAATCCTGTGCAGCGGCGGGTCCTTACCTAGTGAGCTTCTAAGCAAAGAGATTTCAGATAAGACAGTCTCTAATACGCATCCTGTAATTGCCTTCGAGGATCTATATCTATCCCAAGTACATCGTCCTCGCATCAAACTCGGTAACCTTCCCATCCCAGCCTCCCCCTCGGTCGGGCTTCCATGTGTTGTCCTCCTCGGCTGCCTGTGTCGCTGTTGACTCTCCCGTAGCGGCTGATGCGTCACCTTCTGCTTGGCGTGTATTCTTAGCCTCGGATTCGGCTTTGGCCGCGGATTGAGTAGTCCCTGTCGTCTTGATAGCTGGTTCGGGCTCTTCTAGAGAACGTGGCGGAGGCTTGTTGTCGAAATGTTCGAGTTTTCCGTGTGTGACAGTTCGGAATTCGCACGGCGTACCGTATTGGATCCGTCTGGGTTCCGTCATTGCTAGTTGTATGCCGTTGAGATGTTGGTCAAGGCGGTATGGACTCTGTGAGCAATGCTGATGGTTTGTGTATATGGCATCCGCTTGTGCTGGAGCAGAAATGATCGCAAGTTGAGGTGGATCAAACTTTGCCGTGAATGACTGGAGACGAAGGTGGATTGTATGTAAACGTCAAATTCATAATGTCATGTGAGGAATCGACAAATTGTTCCCAAAGGTAACGATCTAGCAGAGGCTTGTGTACCTAGGTAGCTAGCATCAGCGTAGCGCTTAGGGCGTGATAGATTGATGAGCTAGAGTGCGATAAGAACTGGTTTCTAGTCCGCTGACTAACTAGCTACTCACTCCAACTTCGACCTCCCCAAAGTAGACCTGTTTCGATGCTTATTTTGGGTAGAATAGCTACTGCTGTGCTGGCTGAGGCATGCTAGACGCATAATAGTAAAGAAGCAACCATTTCTATCTTGGCTTGATTCTTCTGAACTTTGGACTGGATCGATTAAAAGTGTTGATACTTTTACACATGTAAGCTGAAGCTGAATTAGCACTTTGCTGCTCATTATCGAACAACTATTCATTTCCGTATCTGTGAGACAGCATCAATAATCACTATAGTGTAGCATCGTGCCTCTTCGCACTAACAAGATGACTTCTTCCTACTAAGAGGATAACGCTTCTGGAACATAGCACAATTGTAGCTGTGTTCTCACAAGCCTGCTGAAAGTCTTTACTTTTGAAAAGCGGGTTGACACCGTGACTAGGAAATGTCTCGGCTAACATTACCCAACCCCAGGGACAGAGAGCATGCTCTATCGCCTCCATATATTGGCCTCTTAATTGTTCTGCGGCATCGAGCACACGATTCTGTTTCCGTCATTCGAGTCAATTGTCTCACGAGCGACTGCCCATAGTATATTTGCCCCTGTGGTCTTTTGTCAGTTGGTTCTGGATGCTGTCGGTCTGGGTTACGTGAAGGGTTGGGAACACTGTTTGTACCCTGCTTTGGTTGCTAAGGCGCGAGTTAGCAACAATAATCTGGAGTCCCGCCAACGCTCAATTCTCTGGAGTTGGGAATTCCGCCTTTTTACTTTTTCGTTTTCTTCTTTCATTTTGTTCGATCACATCGTCACTACAGCTGCCAGTGCGAGCCTGCCGTTTTCTCGTATTCTGTTGACTGCATCAGCCTCAATTCCTCGGCTCGGAGGTTCCGGGACATTCGTCGTAAATGGTACTCCGTACATGCAGCGGCAGTCTCCAATGGCAGGCCAGCATGTGGTCAACTTAATATTCACATTTGACTTTGTTCTCTCTGCTCAGACTTTGACGATGTGAAATTAAACTGAAATATTGGCCCCTTCACCAATCTCCCAAAGTGACACGGCCTTTGTGCCTCCAACGTATGTGAGGCCAGCCAGTGGGTCTCTGGAATTTGGTTTGTAATCCATGTCAGTTGGATGGATCTGTGCAGCGCTATATCCTTGAGGGCTGAACGTTTATCATGCGGGCCTTTCTTCTTAGTTCTTTAGGTGGATACAGGAGCCGACCAAGAAACAAACTGGCCAATGAATGTGAACGGTGGCGCCAACGCCTTTTAGTGTACGGCGTAGTTGGCTCCAACGCGCGCCTGTTGGCTTCTACACCGCCGAGTCCTGAATCCTGCCCGAGTTCCCCGTCGAGTCGCCATATTACTTCGAAGTTTGGTACCCCACCTCTGGTCCCCTGCTCTGTGGAAATTTACGATCCTTCTTGCTTCACCAAGGTTGCGCGCCGAATTTGTGTGGGCCATCCCGTTGGATCACCGCATGACTTAAAGCCAGCTATTGAGACTAAATAAAGAGCACACCCACACCATGCATGACTTCAATAATTCTAAGTAAGCAACCGGTGAAAAGCTCACTCTTGTAACATCGATTGCCAGAAACTACGAGGCGGTATGGCGTTTACTGCGATGATGCCACTTCTCACCAAGGGGCTCATAGCCATAATTGCGATTGCAGTGGCAAGATTTCTTCACCGAGGCTATGTCAATAGGACAAGAGTGAGGTCACTACAGGCGCAGGGACTTGTAAGTGCTGTCTCATGCGAACGTGGTGTGCGGCCTACTTGACCGGGTATCCTAAAACTGACTAGTGAATAGCCAGTATTGCCTCACTCGTTATTGTTCGGTCATTTGCCTATTTTTTCCGACTTCCGAAAGAGTCATCCTCTAGATGTCAACATCTACAGGTTCCATACTTGGATCATCGAAAATTGCAAGAATTATTTCCCCGACTTGGACTACCCGCCCCCAGTGGTGTATTTGGACCTCTGGCCAATTACCCACTCTTTGGCCCTGGTAACCGACCCAGTTGCTGCATCCCAGTTTACGACGGTTCAGAGCCTGCCGAAGAACAGCAGTTTACATGATTTTGTCGGACCTCTGACCTCGTGCATTGACATTCTCTGCACAGAGGGACAGATATGGAAAACTTGGCGTTCCCGGTTCAGTCCCGGGTTCAGTCAGAGGAACTTGACTGCGATCTTGCCTGAAGTAATCGAAGAGGCGAATGTGTTTGTCGAAGGACTCAAGGAAATGGCAGGCAAGGGTGGAGCTTGGGGTTCGGTGTTCCAACTCGAGAAGAGAACGACAAATCTGACGTTTGATATCATCTGCCGGGCAGCACTGTAAGTCACTCGCCAGAGGGCCTCGCATCGAGGGTCGTGAGCACCATATATGAAGGTCCTCTACTCTCCCACGCAGTTACCTTCCTAAGCACGGGCACATGATCATTCCACCGTTCCACCAAGCCCGCAATCATATGCTGACCATCCTTAGCGACGTCCGCCTGCACGAACAAACCCGTGAATCGGACAGCAATTTGAAAAGCGCCCTCCTGGATCAGGTGCGCTTGATGGGGATGATGTCGAACCCCGCGCAAGCACTGATGCTGGGTCGCATGCCATGGCATCGTGCATCAGTGGCTCGCAACAACAGAACTATGCGCGAGTTCCTGCTCCCACAGATACAGAGAAAGCTGGAGTCGACCGCAGAAAACACGCAGAAGAAGACCATTGTTGACCTGGCCATCAAACACGTCGGTACCGATGAGCCGAACGCGTCGAAGAATAAACCCACTGCCGAGTTCGTGGACAGGCTCATCGCCAACCTGAAAATCTTTCTCTTTGCTGGTCACGACACGACCGCCTCGACGATCTGCTTTATGTTCAAACTGCTACAGGACAATCCTAGCTACCTGGAGAAGGTTCGAGCCGAGCACGATGCGGTACTTGGCCCGGAGGTGGACAAGGCTGCCGAGATCTTGACCACGTCTCCTCATCTCTTACAGTCACTTCCGTACACGCAGGCCGTTATCAAAGAGACGTTGCGGCTATACCCTATAGCAGCAACCGTGCGTGAACCGCTGCCTGGATTCTACCTGACGGCGACGAACTCGTCGGTCAGGTATCCGATGGAAGGCTTCGGACTGTGGTTGTCACCCCCCGGACTTCAGCGCCACCCGCAGTACTGGCAGAGACCCCATGACTTTCTGCCCGAACGATGGACATCACCTGACGCCTCACTGCATCCTACCGCCAATTCCTGGGCGCCCTTTTCTCTTGGACCGCGAAACTGCATCGGAATGGAGCTGGCCATGATAGAACTCAGGCTTGTGCTGGTTCTCACAGCTCGTACGTTTGATATCGAAGAAGCATGGACCGAGTGGGACGAGGAAAGGTGAGGGACCAGATTCCGAGAATCGCCTGTGACATTCTTGTAGTGCAGAAACTGACAGACCTTCAGGGGCTCAAAGGCTACACCTTCGCATACGGTAAATGGGCGTCGCTTGTATGAGGTCGGTACTGGCATTGTCCACCCCAAAGACGGCATGCCGGTGCACGTCAGATTGAGAGAGTAGTGAACCCAAGAGGGATGGATCTATGGTCACTTTTTGGCTTGGATTATCTGGTGCTCGATATTCGTTGTAGAAAAGAGACCTACCTGTCCAGCGATGCTGAAGCATCATCTAGAACTCTTTGCCGTAGACTACATTGAAGAGATCGGCACTATTAATATTGCCAGGGCAGGGGTTCACACTACACAGGTTCTAGGGGTTGAGAATATCGCAGTGATTCAAGTACAATCACAAGGTTATCTAGTCTTGCACGCTAATTAAAATCTTACAATGCTGCTGTCCGGGCTTATTTAAAACCTTAATCCCCTTCTCAACCAGATCTTTCATCTCAATCTTGCCAGTAATCAATGCCTCCGGCTTTATCCTCCCATCTCCGAGGGCCTCGATAACCTCTTCCCAGTCACTCTCCTGATAAGCCATCGAGCTCACCAGGGTCGCCTCTTTATGCAGATAAAGGTTGAGGTCCACCTGTGGCACGGGCTCGGCACGAAGGGCGATGTTGACAATAGTACCCCGCGGCCGCAGCGCCTCCAGGGCCGTGCTGAGGGTGACTGGTAGCCCAGCACAGTCGAAAACCGCGTGGGCGCCCCGGCCGCCTGGTCCGGATAGCTGCCGGACCATGGCCGGAACATCTGTTTCGGCGGGGGAGACGACGTGCTCGGCGCCGAGCGCCGCCAGCATGTCACGCCGCGCCTGCGAGACCTCACTGACCACGATCCTCGTCAGGCCCTGGGCGCGGAGGGCGAAGTACACGGCAAAGCCGATCGGGCCCCCGCCCACTATGAGCGCCGTCGACGCGGGGGTCAAGTCCCGCGCCAGGCGCGTCGCGTGCCAGCCCACGGCAAGTGGCTCGACCAAGGCCGAGACCTCGGGGCTCGTCCCCTGGGGGAGGCGGAACACCGTCTTCTCCTCGACGACGGCCGCCTCGGCCAGGCCCCCGTTGGCGTGGATTCCAAGCCAGCCCCAGTACTGGCACACGTTGGTGTGCCCCGCGACGCAGGAGTCGCAGGTCCCGTCGTACAGCGACGGGCGGACGGCCACGAGGTCGCCGACGCGGGCGCGCGTGACGCCGTCCCCAACCTCCGTCACCACCCCGCCGAACTCGTGGCCGAAGACGATGGGCATCCCCTCCTTGGCCAGCGGGTGCTTAAAATCGGACTTGGTAGCTACGGCTTCATCGAAGTATAGATGGCTGGCCGGCGGACTGAGTTAGCTTATGAATTCTGGGCACAGGTGGGCTTACAGACATGTCGCTGCCGCAGATGCCAACAAAGCCTGGCTTGATCTTGACACAGCCCGGCCGACAATCTGGCTCGGGGATATCGTCCAAGCGGATATCCTTAATGCCGTAGTATCGGAGAGCACGCATGATGTGAGACTGGCTTGTGAGATGATATCGCTCGTGTGAGAAGTTTGGTTCGTAGACATGAACCAACGGAAAATGCACAGGGAATTTTTACTGTATGCCGACTCAGCCGAGACGGGAAGTAGAATTACTGACAACAGAGAACATGGAGGAAGAAAATAGAGGAGCAGGACTAAGCTGATGGAAACATCGTGGCGCGGCGTGCGGGGCCCCGCATCCCCGTTCCCATGACATTGTCCCGGGATCCGTATTCGGCTAGATGCTGTTTGCGCTGCGGGTACAGATGTACGACATATATCTTTCTTCGGAAAGGTCGATGACGACACTCAATCCAAGCTGTCCAGCTGTCGATGTGGAGGACAAGCAAAGCTCTCGTGTATGATTACATGTGTAGTCGATCCCCGCTTTTCGCTCGACACTTCTCTGTACATTAGTGAAACATCTCACAAGCCTCTGGCCTGAACTCCCTTGGCGAACCTATGCCTCTTAAGCCGAAAGCCAGGGCAGCTGTTTCAATTCGATAGACAGGTATTCCTGTGTGCGGCAACCGTCTCAGTTGGCCATTGCTAAGGATGCACTGTTACCGTGTTTGTTAAAGTCGCAGCCAGCTCTAATATCTTACATGTGCGAAGAATAGACGGTGTATCGCATCAATTCCAACCAATGGATTCATCGAACGCTCCTAATACCGCCAACGGAACAGTCCCGGGCACCAAGACCCGATATGGCAAGCCACTGCCTCCTTCATGGGTCCCCCTCTACCAAAAACCCCTAGGCACGCCCACGCGTCGCCTCCAAGTCGTCACCATCGGCGCCGCTGTGGCCGGAATGGGATTCGCTTACAAGATACAACACGAGCACAAGATGACTGCGGAAGGGATCGATGGGAGGGAGGAGCCACTGGTGGAGCATACGATCTACGAAGCGAACGAGGATATTGGTGGCACGTGGCTTGTTAACACTTATCCGGGGGTGGCGTGTGACATCCCGGCACACTTGTACGCCTTCCCTTTCGAGGTGTGTCTGCGTATCATCTTGTCTCCCATCTCAGAGGTGCTTGGCCGAAAGCCGGCTTACCTCGTACGCAAGAAAGTGTGTGGTAAGACTCACAATCCCTTCAGCCCAATCCTAATTGGAGCTCGTTTTACGCCAGCGGCGCAGAGGTTCTGGCTTATTTCAAGCGGACGGTGGCCAAATACAGTCTCGACCGGGATGTGAAGCTGAACCACAGGGTCGAGCATGCCAGATTCGACGAGGCAGATGGGAGGTGGCATCTCAGAGTCCGGCGTGTGGACACGGACGAGATGGTCGTCGACACGTGCGACGTCCTCGTCTCCGCCACGGGCTTCCTCTCGCACTGGCGCTGGCCTTCAATACCGGGCCTGCACGATTTCCAAGGCCACCTCGCGCACAGCGCGGGGTGGGACTCACAGGGCGAGTATGACTATAACGGAAAGAGCATCGGTATCATAGGGAACGGCAGCTCCGCGATACAAATTCTGCCCCAACTCGCCCCCGGGGCGGCGCATCTGTTCAGCTTCATGCGCCACCCGACGTGGATCACCGCCGGGCTGGGCTCGGCGGCCATCGACGGCGCCGCGAACTACACCTACACGGACGCCGAGAAGCGGGCGTTCGCGGAAAACCCCGACAGCCTGAAGCAGTACCGGAGGCGCCTGCAGCAGGCGACCAACACGGGCTTCGAGCTGTACGTGAAGGGCAGCCGCGCGCAGGAGGAGGCGTTCGGGGCGACGGCCCAGGCCATGCGGGAGCGCCTCGGGGGCGACGATGAGCTCGCAGGCAAGCTGATCCCGGACTGGGAGGTGGGCTGCCGCCGCGCAACGCCAGGGCCGGGGTACCTGGAGGCGTTCACGAGGGATAATGTCTCGCTCGTCACCGACGGCATCGAGCGCGTCACGGCGTCTGGTATCCGCACGCACGGTGGGGAGGAGTTTGATCTGGACGCCATTGTGTGCGCGACGGGGTTTGACGTGAGCCACCGGCCGCCGTGGCCGCTTATTGGACGGACGGGTGTCAGCTTGGCTCAGTACTGGGAGGAAGAGCCGTATTCGTACTTGAGTCTGATGGCGGCTGGGTTTCCAAACTTCTTCGTGTTTGGTGGGCCCAATAGTCCAGTGGGACATGGAAGTTTGATGAGCCAGTTGCAATGGAGCGCCGAGTGGATGTGTAAATGGGTGAAGAAGATAGCGTACGAGGATATCAAGTAAGTGCCCGATACCCACTGTGAAAATGGTTTTCGACCAAATGCGGTAAGACAAGACCGAATTACTGACTGGCCTGATCCAAAGATTCATTGATCCAAAGCCAGAGGCGGTGGAGGAGTTTAACTCTTATGCTGATGAGATTATGCAGACATTGGTTTGGTCGGGCGGATGTAGGTCGTGGTATAAGAATCATCGCGTTGACGGGCGTGTCACGGCTGTCTGGGGTGGAAGCGCGATTACATACCACGAGATGATAAAAGAGCTGCGGCCCGAAGACTTCGATATTGAATACAGATCAAGAAACAGGTTCAAGTTCATGGGGAATGGAAGGGCTGCTATGGAGAGTATGCCTGGGGCCGATCTGGCATTCTATATTTACAAGTAGAGAACTTCATGAGGAGATGGAAATGATGAAATCTAGACAGAATGTAATAACGCGGTGTTTAGCCGTTAAGTACCTCTGAGGCACACGGTATCTAGACCATACCAGCTGAACTCGGTCCAGGACCCTTCCAGTTGTCCAGTCGAACTGGATAAAATGACACAGTAAGACACAAAACAGCGTACAATGCCATCATCGTAATTCCATGTAGCCTGGCATTTTATTCTGTCAGCATCTCTCCCAAGCATGAAAAGGGGTGTATAGTTCAATAAGTAAATTCAGAAAATTCACTGACCAGTTGAACTCCCCTGAGGCAGAGAGAGCATTTACCAAGTAGACAGACGTGAACAGCGTGGTCACTGCTACTATGTCGAAAGATAGGCTTGCGTCCTCGAAACCTGCGCCCCAAGCCACCATGACCAGGAACGGAGAGAAAAACAAAGCCAACTGTAATGATTTGTCAAATGTGAATGTCAAGACCGAATCCATTGACCATTCCACCTGCTCAACCGCGGCTAAGTCGCAATTGAGGATGGGTATCAGGATGTAGCCACTGAAGCCGAGACTTGGGGAATCGTGTATCTCCCTTAGCTCCAGAACACTGTTAACAACGTAGTCGACGCAGAAATAGAGAAGAGCCGTTGTTGCGACGAACATGAAGAATGCTGTCCAGATTGAGAGCTCCCCTGCCTCTGTCACTTGTCCTTCTGGTGCGGGACTGTGCTCGAGCGTTGCATTCTCCACGACGTGGGCGTTACCTCTCCGGTTGGGGCATTGATTAAACGACTGATCACTCGCGAAGAATGCCTTATGTGTTGATAACTGAAAGAATAGATATCCTCCGTATGCGATCATCAGCAAAACAGAAGTGCCCCGGGACAAGCCCGCCGTGGAAGCTGTGGGCAAGGTCGTTTCTAGGTCGAATACCGTTGGTGCGACCAATCCGCCAGTCGCCAAGAATAGCAGAAGAGTGTATTTCTTTGTAACCCTATACTCATGGACCATACTCTTCTGTCGAAGGGTGGCGTAAAACACAGATAGAGCAGGGAGGAGCAATAGGTTGGCTTGCAGGGTCCCTATCAAGGACATTTGCATCATCACAATCTCGCCGTTGCGAATCAAAACGATGCCCGATATCGCTTGCATCAAGTTGCTGTTCCAACGTGTCAGTATAACCGACACGCGAGATCTGACGCTCGCGTACCTGGCGGATATGTAGAGTAGGAACCCATATTTTGTGCCGATTCTCGACGTGATACCTCTGAGAATGGCATCTCCTAGGCCTAGTAGTCCCATAGCGGCCAAGAAATTGACAACGAGAACTACAACTGCTGGTGCAGATACGGCGTTAACGGCAATACCTGTTGGAACAAAGAGCAGAAGGGCGTTCGTCCACGACCTGAACAAAAGACCACACACTTGTTTCACCACTGAACTGCTGATGATCTTCAGGCTGACAAGGTGGCTGTGCCAACAGTTTCGCATGCCTCTCCGGTCTGCTCTTACAGTCATTGGCAAGAAACAAGAAGAAAAAAGCGCACAAGCTTTTGGATTGAGTTAAGACTGCGAAGGAGGTGAGGTGCAGTGGAGATGGATGTTTGATATGCCTGGCAGCCTGGAGGGAATGTCTGCATGGCTGTGAGAGACTTCAGGCCTTCATATGATATTTCCCAGCTGAAGCTGCGCCCCCAAGTGCCTATTAAAAACCTTGCTTGCTCCCTGTTTTAAACATGTCTTTGATCAGGCAATGTGACTGGACTGTTGCATCCCTAGTATGCGGCTGAGAATTTTACGCGCCTGTCGCGCGAAGGATCATCTTGGTTCCTTTTCAGCCGTCCTTACCTACGAATTGCCCCTTTTGCTTGCAGATCCAGCGTGTCAGTCATCTTGCCAACCGAACTGTATCCACTGAACTCTGTACACTAGTGTAGGATAGACTATGTATGATCTATGTGGGTCCTCAGATTCCGGCAGGTTCTGCCGCTGTCTGTGGAAAACGAAGTGCAGCCCCCCCTGTCGCTTTGGTCAGCTGTCCCCCCCCGCACTAAAATTTGGCTGTGAATGCGGAATATGCATTAAGATTCTCATAAACACCCTTATTAACATTATTACGTACTTAATTTAATAAAAGAGAAGTTATTATAACCCTATTTTGCATTTATCTTTAAAATGGTTAAGAATAATAGAATTAACTTAAGCTTATTATATAAGGAAGCATATGCTTTATTAACCCTAGCTTAAAGTAATTATAGCTTATTTAAATTAATTAAAAACTTATTTTAATAGCTCTTAAAAAGCAAAAGCTTAGTTATTATAACTATATATTTATTTATAACGCTAAGTTATTTACTTTATTAATAAGGCATATATTAATTAATTAATAATATTATTATATATAAAGAAGTTAATAATAAAGATAAAGGCTATTATTATTATAAAATAAAAGCTAGCAGCTTAATTAAAGCCCTTATAAGATAAATAAATAGCTATTTAATATATTACTTAATATATTATTAAGAATATTAAGAAGGTTGCCTTTAAAGTTATTTTTAATAAAAATAATGCTTTAAGTAACTTAAATAAAGCTAAGAATGCTTATGCTAGCTAAGAAATATTAGGTATATTTAAATTATTATTATTAATTAATAATATTAAAGGTAGTAATATTAAGGAGCTAAAAAGCTATTTCCTATTAAGAAAGTTATTAAGAAAAGCATTTTTAATATTATATATAAAAGTTATTAGCATAAAAGCTTTTTTAATATTATTAATAAAGTAATAAAGCTTTATATTTAATAATAATAGGTACAAAGTTTTTAATATTAATTTATTACTTGAAGATTTTTTCTTTAAAATAAAGGATTAAATTAAGGCTAAGCTTATTAATATAAAGAATATAATAATTAAGCTATTATAAGTTTTATTTAAGGTAGGTTATTAGCTTTAAATAAGAATATTTTTAATTTAATTAGGTATAATAAAGAGAATTAAAAGGCATTTAAAGAGAAAACTTTTTAATAATAAAATTATAAAGATGCTTTTATTAAATAAGGGTTCTTATTATTTCATAATTATATATATTTATAAAGTAATACTCTTAATAATATAAATAACGCTTTATAGCATTATAATGCTTAGATAATTAAATATTAAGAGTTTTAAGCCCCCCTTATTAATAAAGTTAATGCTTAGCTTAGCAAATAATTTATTAACAGCTAAGTACTTAAAAAGTATTCTTTTAATTAAAACGTTATTATTATTATAAAGCCCTTAAAAAGGGTTAATTACTATTTATATAATAATTATAATGAATAATAATTAATTACTTATCTTTAAGGCTTATAAAAAGCTAATATAAATATAGCAATGCTTTAAGGGTCCTTATTATAAAATTAATTATTATTATTATAATAAAGGAAACTTTTTATAATAATAATATTACATTAAAACGAATAGTATATATATAAATATTATTAATGCTAATTTAAATATATAAGTATAAGTAATAATTAATAATAAAACTATTATTTAAAGGCTTTTAAAAAAGTTTTTATTAAGTAAATAAATATTATTAAAGTTAATAAAAATAATAAGGAACTTAATAATAATAATATTAACTTTATATATAAATAAAAGAAGCTTAAGAAAGGTAATAAATAAAAAGAAAGTAGCATTAATATAATAATTAACTTATTAATTAATCTTTATACCCTTAACTTTAAGTATAGGCAGAGCTGTGACAGTATTAGTGCATTATGTATTTATATTTATATTAATACATAATACTGTATTTGTATTTGTATTTATATTAATGTATTTATATTTGTATTTATATTATTAAAGGCTTTGTATTATGTATGTATATTTGTATTTATATTTATATTATTAACCTTTGTATTAATTTGTATTAATATTAATACAGTATTAATACATAATACACTTTTTTAAAATTATAAAGTTTAATTAAAGTTATAATAAATTTAAGAAAATACAGTTAAATTTAAGAATTATAAATATATATTTTTTTTTAATACATAACTTTTTCTTTATTTTTAAATAATTATTATTTAAAAATAAAGAAAATTTAATAGTTAAAGAATTAAAAGAAATAAAAGAAAAAAAGAAAAAAAGAAAAAAAGAAAAAAAGAAAAAAAGAAAAAAAGAAAAAAAGAAAAAAAGAAAAAAAGAAAAAAAGAAAAAAAAAAAAAAAGAAAAAAAAAAAAAAAAAAAAAAAAAAAAAAAAAAAAAAAAAAAAAAAAAAAAAAAAAAAAAAAAAAAAAAAAAAAAAAAAAAAAAAAAAAAAAAAAAAAAAAAAAAAAAAGAAAAAAAAAAAAAAAAAAAAAAGAAAAAAAAAAAAAAAAAAAAAAAAAAAAAAAAAAAAAAAAAAAAAAAAAAAAAAAAAAAAAAAGAAAAAAAAAAAAAAAAAAAAAAAAAAAAAAAAAAAAAAAAAAAAAAAAAAAAAAAAAAAGAAAAAAAAAAAAAAGAAAAAAAGAAAAAAAAAAAAAAAAAAAAAAAAAAAAAAAAAAAAAAAAAAAAAAAAAAAAAAAAAAAAAAAAAAAAAAAAAAAAAAAAAAAGAAAAAAAGAAAAAAAGAAAAAAAAATTATAAATAAATAAATAAATAATTATATAAAAAGCTTTATATAATAATATAAAAATAATATTATTTAACTATTTATTTAATTCCTTATTTAACTACTTATTTAACTACTTATTTAATTAATTATTTAACTACTTATTTAACTATTTTAATACTTATTTAATTATTTATTTTATTATATCATTATATTTTCCAGAATTTAAGGATTATGATGATATATATATATATAATATATATTAATATATAATAATAAGTTATAATAAAATGAAGTATAAAACCTTGTTTTTAAAAATACGGGCAGATATATAACTTTATATTTAATATATATTCTTATTATTTAGTTATATTAAAATTTTACTAATTTGTTTCTCTATAAAATGATATAAAGGAAGATTATTTAATTAATTTAATATATATATAAAAAAATGAAAAACTAATAAGGGTTTTTTATATAAAGAGAAAAGAAAATTTATTTATTTAAATTAATAATATTAAACTTTATAATTATATTATTAATATTTAATATAATATATATATATATATTTATATTTTATATAATAAAGTTAAATATAATATAATAATTAATTAAATATTTAAAGTTTTAATTAAATATTGTTTATAAATAAATATTATTATAATTAATATATATATAATCTTATTAAATAATATATATTATTTTTATACTTATATTATATTTAATTATAATTATTATATAATAATATTATATTAAGTAAAACTTTAATAATAAATACTTTTAAATATTTTAAGTTAAATAATATATAATATTATTTTTATAATTTATAATTAATATTTTTAAGCTTATTAAACAACCTTTACTTTTATAAGCCTTATAAGGTTTAAAAACGCCCTAAAAGCCTTATAATACTACTTATTTTATAAGGGTTATAAAGGTATATATATTAATAATAAAACTTTATATATTTAAATATAAGTTTTTATTTTTATATATTTAAACATAAATATATAATAAATATTATTATAACTCTTTCCTTTTATATTATTAAATTATATATACTTTTAACCTTATTTATAAGTAAATCTTTAATAAAAATAATACTTTAACTCTTTAAATAAAGTATATATACTCCTTAAAATTAAGATTTTTTAAAGTAACAATATTTAAGCTTATTATTAATGATCTTATAATTTAATAATTAAAATATTAATTATTTAAAGTTAAAAGCTTAAATTTAATTCTTAGTAAAATTCTTAATAAGCTTAAGAGTTGCTACTTTTTTATTTTTTTAAAGATTTAAATAAGTAATTAAAAAATAATTATTTTTATATTATTATATAATTATTTTCTTTATAATCTTTATAAAATAAATAAGTTTATAAAGCTTATAAAGTATTTTTAATTTTTATAAAGTTTATAAAAGTAAAACTTATTTTATATTATTAGTTTTTATAATATACTTTTTATTATTTATAATAATAAATAAATAATAAGTTATATAACTTATATATTATTAATTTATATTAAAATATATTTCTTATTATAAATAAACTTTATTTTATTTATAATAATAATTATTAATATATATATAATAAGTTATATATTATAATTTATAATATACTTTTTATTATAAATATTCTTTTTATTATTTATAATAATAAATATATAATAAGTTATATATTATTAATTTTTATTATAATATACTTTTTATTATTTATAAT